CCTCCCCTCCACTTGAAACTTCAGCACAATTTTTGTAAGTTTAGGAAACAAATAAAATCGTGCGCAATATTCCATGTAGTATAAATTTTACACCTTAAATCCACGAGAATAAATACTTATTTGCATTTTTTAAAAGTTTAAGCTTGTTTTTTTGTACCTTTATATTTAAGTACGTTGCAGATTCCAGTGTACAGAGCAGCTTTAAAATCTTGTAAAGCTTCAGTATATCTTTTAAGGCTTTGGAGCAACTCTCCTATTATAAACAAAGTTTTGTATGATTATTGTACCACAATAACTTATTGTAGAAATACTTATTTTATTTAGACCTGTAAAAGGCGTTTGATTACAAAAAATAAAACAAAAAAATTCGGGTCAACAGGGACTTTTCGAGTTTTTGAATGTCGTGTTGTAAAGTAAAGAGTTTTCAGGAGCTATAAAGTATGAAAAATTCAAAACGATTTAACTATGCATTGATTTCACCAAAGTTAAAAAAAAAATAAAGGCCTTTTGAAAACAGTAAACAGACCTTCATCTTAATTTTAATTATAAAAATAGTGGCAGTCTTAAGTATGGCTTGTTACAAAAGAAACTAACACATATTCACATTTTATCTTCTTTGAATTTTCATTTACTGAATTTACCTCGGGCAAAGTGTACATAAGGAAGAGATTGTACATCAGCTTGTCGTATGATGACGTTCATATCATCAAGTGTTAAGCCTGTACATGAATCCAGTTGTACTGTCTCCTGCAAATAAACAAACAAACAAATAATAAAATTAAACATCGATTCTTAAATCTTCAAGTTTGAAATCAATGTTCTATCCAAATTACTATCTCGCAAAATAAATTTAGGGTTTTCAATATTTCCAGAATCAATTTGTTTCCGTAAAGTCCTTATACGGTCTACACAACCTTTTCTAAAGCTGTTAAAAATAACAAACCATTAAAAACTTTTGGAAATTAAAGGCCTTTAATGAACCAAATTGATCCTGAAAAAATGGAACCACTCCTCTTTCTGAATAGTTGATGATAATATTTAATTTCCTTATTTGTTGATCTTGGCCACGAAGAGAAAAAATAATTAATCTATTTATTTCGTTCATTTGTTCCCCTTGGCTTGCTTTCTCTTAAACACAGGCCCAGGATCTAAAAAAAGTAAAAAATGTGTAGGGTATAGGGAAATCTAAGTTCTAAGAAATCTAAGTTCATCCTTTAAAATTACACGTTACTCTTTTATTTATAGGTTGTCATTAGAGTCTCATCCTTTGTTGAGTTAAGTGGGTAACCCTCCCGAGTCCGAATTTAATGAAATTGAGCAGCGGCTTAAATCCACCAAAAACCGGTTTTAATTGAGCGCCGGCTTAAATCTTGAAAAATTCAATACAACTTTAAGTGGAATCAACCACATTAGAGCTGCGGCTCAAATTCTTTAAATTCGGCCGCCATAAGTATTAATAAAAACTCAATAACACATTGTTATTTGTTACCCTCGTTACCCAAAAGGTTTAAAGATTCCAGGTAAGAGTGTAGAAGAGGGAACACAATGTCGTCTTCTCCTGAATCAATTGCACGGTTTAACTCATCAACGGAGTCTCCAACAACATCCCTACATTAAACAGAGACGGTATTATAGTTGCTAGTCCACGCAATAACTAGTTTAGAACAGAGACAATTAAAAACTGTGGAAAATGAAGACGACATTGAAGCAATATCTAAAGTGTGTATAATTGTTGTTACATGGCAAATATTTTAACTTGTACCTTAAGAATCAACGATTTAATGATATGAATAGAGCACAATACACAATTGCTGTGTCTCATTTGACTATTTAAAAATTGAGTCCAAAAGTCGTCTTTCTATTACAGAGTTTTCTGGTTCTCCCTGTATGTCCGGCCTTTATCGGAAAAATGGTGTATTATCATCCCACTCTAAAAGTATATAATAATTATAATTATAACATTTACAAATATCAAAGTCATTGACGATATTACACTGAATGAAAAGAAAGAAGGATGAAGACAAACATTTCACTGTTTTCAGAGATTTTAACAATGCTCTCTCTTGAATATATTTCTACAGTGAAATCTGTTGAATAGGAAGACGACATTCAAGCAATCTCATTTGTACTTAATGTTGTTACTGCGCAAATAGTTTTACACCAGTAGCTTGAAAATCAACTTATTAAGTGAATTTTGTCTGTGTACACTGCACAGTTGCTGTGTTTCATGTTTATTAAAACTATCATGTTTTTAATAATAGTCTTACTTTTCCACTGTGGGATCCACTGTACCTTGAGAAGAGCATATGATCCACTGCTTCGTTGAATAAATCAGAAATTAGGGATTCAGTGTTATCCTCAACAGTCTACAGGATAAATGAGGTGTACAAAATAATAAGGTTGTTTATACGTTTTTTTTCAATAAAGCTTTTATACATTTATCATTTGTATACCAATACAATGAAGACGACTTTTTGATAATTATTATATGATCCCTGATAAGCATTATTTCAACTTACAAGCTTACAAGTAAACGAAGAGAAGTGCCAATCTCTCTGTTTCCATGTATGTACATGTTTCCCTGCTGTTTAAAATTGTAGAAATCAAAATTTAAGTAGAAAGTCTTCAAATATATACGACGAGATTGTACCAATGATAATAATAATAATAATGATAATAATAAAAATAATAATAATAATAATGATATTAAGAATAATAACAGTATTAAAAATAATATTTATAATAACAATAATGCATGTGTTTAAAGTTAAAAACCTGAAATCGTCGACTAAAGTTAGAACTACTTTCTTTTCCAGTCATTTTTTCACGATTAGGAAATAAGTTCTGCACAAGTTGAATATAACTCATTGAATTATCTACATGAAGATGCAATGTCAAAAACTTTTTCATTATGCAATTTTAGAAAATTTTATCAAAGATTGTCAAAAATTATAACATTGCATTTTAATTATAATAAGACTAGCTATTACTTCACACGTGGTACTATTTAGTAATGATTTTCAAAATTAGTGTCCCACAAAACAAAAGTAAAAACTTGTTGCAGTTTATTTTATTTTAAAAAACATTTACTCAAATATATTTTACTTTGAAATAAATTTTTCTACATAAAACTGGATTCCTACAATATAATATATTTTGATAATTTCTTTGGCAGCAAACAACTTGATAAAGAAGACATTTTAAACTATTCAACAACTGTCATGTTTCGTGGAACACCCTGTACTACAAATAGGAAGGATACTGAAAACAACATATTTATGCAACTATTCAAACACTGATAAACATTTGCGCTGTCTGTGTAATCGTTTATTTATTTATCTATTTCTACAGAACGTACATACATATCCCCTTCTTTTATGCTTAAAGTTTTTTTAACAATTTAGTTAAGTCGGGTTAAGATGTTTTTAGGACGGAATTATAATGTAGGATTGGGGTCGATCAGGGTAGAGAAGGATAGGGGTTTGCACTTAAATGCAATATCAGCAATTTCTACTTTTCCTCACTACACAACAAGTAAAAGGTAAGAATATATATTCAGAATAATTTTGGTTTAATATAAACTTTCTCCGAGTTGTGGGAGTTCCATAATTCCTTAAACCATAGCGGAGATCTGTTCAGATCATATCCATAGTTCACAAATAATTCTTCATCCTTCAAAATATTATGTTGTAATTTTTTTAAGCTTTTGTTTAATTTACATTTTTACCTTTAAAATTGGAGAAATAGACGTTATAGCTCTTATTCTTCCCCATCTAAGATAAAATTAAGATGTATTGAATGGAGGGGATAAATGGGATGGGATGGATGTGATGGATGGATGAATAGGATGGATGGGATGGATGGGATTGATGGGATGAAGTTCACCTAGGATGAAATATTGTTGAGAATCTACAGTTGGGTTTGAATGAATGATTAACCTAAAAGTAAATAATAAAAATTAACAAAACTGAGAAATTAAAAAATTAAAAATTATTAGAAAGTTTCAAAAAGGTTCTTTTTCATAAAATATAATGCTAAACCTTGTGTCCTAAAGAAGCTGAGTAATTCTCCAAACTTCTAAAAAATGGTTTTAACAATGAATAAATTAAAAATTGAAAAATATTTAAATTTTTTTTAGCATTGCAAATCAATGTATGTACTATTTTTGGCATTTAAATGTTGTTCGAACTATTCCAAATTATACTTGGTCTTTCTTATAATTGAAGAAAATCAGGACTGATCCAAATATTAAAAATTCCAGATCATATTTTTTAAACAATTTCTAGTGGCAGTTGAAATTGTTTTTGTAACTTTAATAAATTTAAACACATACGTAGGTTTTTAATCAAATTACAGGGGATCCACAATCCACATCATATTGGATTACGTAAAGTTTAAATGGTTATATTAAAGATGTTTAAACATGGACTCACATTCTATGGAGAAAATAAAAGTTTTGGTATAAAATAAAGATTACCGATATAAATTTATAGAGGAATTTCTAAAATGAAATTACCGATATAATGGAGGAATATCTAGGAAGAGATTACAGATATAATGGAGGAATATTTAGGAAGAAATTACCAATATAATGGAGAAATAACTAAGAAGAATTTTCCGATGTAATGGAGGAATATCTAGGAAGAAATTACGGATGTAATGGAGGAATATCTTGAAAAAAATTACCGATATAATGGAGGAATATCTAGGAAGAAATCTTCATCTTGAGGCATGTGAATATTGTAGGATAGTCGGTCATATGCCTCTTCTTCAGAATCTACGAAATTAACAAACATATATGTTGTTTTCTATATATATACTTTGCTACACTGTCTGGGTTTTTGTTTGTTTGTTTGTATCTAATGAACGTCAAAACGGCTAAACCGATTGGGCGCAAATTTTGTGTTGGGCCTCGCATGACCGAAAGGAAGGTTTATGAATAACCGACATTTCAAAAAATTGCCTCCAACAAATTCGATTTTCAAAAAATTTCGAAAATCTACGAATTTTTTTTTTAAATCCGCGAACTTTCTTTTGGTTTTGTTCTAGTAAATAATCTCTGTCCTTAGCTTGGTTTAAATCTTTCAAGTTGAGTTGGTTGACTTTTCACTCCTGTATGCCAAGTCCATTAGCGCCTGGATCCAATCAGTCATGTATTTGTTGTCTATTCTGAACCAATAGAAATAGTATGACGGTAACATCTATCTGTCTATCTATCTTATTATATGGAAAGCACCAGACATTATGGCTGGGTCAATATAGTCCTTTTGAACAAACATATTTTTTTTCAAACCGAGTTTGAAATTCTGTTTTAATATCACATGCTACTCAGCTCTGCATGGGTTCTTTGATTTTTTTATTTATTGCAATGTGACCCAGAAAACCGTGGAATAGGCAGACGACATTTGAGAACATTTAATGTTGTTACAAAGCAAAGCGTTTTATTGGTAGCTTAAAAACCAAGTTTTAAGTTATAGAGGTCTGCGACCTGGTACACTGCACATGAGACTTTTAAAAATCATTACAAAGGTTTAATAGTCATCTTTTTATTCCACTGCATTTTCAGAGGCCCACTGTATTATCTCACCTATTCCTGAAGCTGGATTTGAGACCAACTCGTATTTAATTCCGTTAAACATGGCAACTAGAATTCCTGTTGGAATATTTTTCAGAGCATAGATTCCCTCCCCTCCTCCCTCCATACTAGAAATCCTTAAACAAGAAATAAAACATCTCTTGAGAAACTAGTACATTTTGTTTGTAATATTGAACTTCCAAGATCATTTCGAAATAAGGAACATTTTGATCGAAATTATGAACAGACTGTTAGGGATATCTAAGAAATGTTCGAAATTTCGAAATGCTATCGGTAAGCTTATATTTTTATTTCAATGTCTATTTCGAACTATCGTTGTTAAGTCAAACTGTCTTTGATTGGTCGAACTGTCTTTGATAGGTCGAACATTTCTTTGATAGATCGAACTGTCTTTGATAGGTCAAACTATCTTTGATAGGTCGAACTGTCTTTGATAGGTCGAACTGTCTTTGATAGGTCGAACTGTCTTAGATAGGTAGAACTATCTTTGATAGGTCGAACTGTCTTTGATAGGTCGAACTGTCTTTGATAGGTCGAACTGTCTTTGATAGGTTGAACTGTCTTCTATATGTCGAACTGTCTTCTATATGTCGAACTGTCTTCTATATGTCGAACTGTCTTCGATGGGTCAAACTGTCTTTGATAAGTTGAACTGTCTTTGATAGGTGGAACTGTCTTCAATTGGTCAAACTGTCTTTGATAGATCGAACTATCTTTTATTTGTCAAACTATCTGTGATAGTTCGAACTATCTTTGATAGGTAGAACTATCTTTTATAGGTCAGACTATCTTTGATAGGTCGAACTCTCTTTGATAGGTGGAGCTGACTTTGACAGGTTGAACTATCTTTGATAGATCGAACTATGTTTGATAGGTCGAACTATCTTTAATAGGTGAAACTGTCTTTGATAAGTTGAACTGATAGGTCGAACTGTCTTTGATAGGTCGAACTGTCTTCTATAGGTCGAACTGTTTTTGATAGGTCAAACTGTCTTTGATAGGTCAAACTATCTTTGATAGGTCGAACTATCTTTGATAGGTCGAGCTGTCTTCTATAGGTCGAACTGTTTTTGATAGGTCGAACTGTCTTTGTTAGGTCGAACTATCTTTGATAAGTCGAGCTGTCTTTGATTGGTCGAACTATCTTTGATAGGTCGGTCTGTCATTGATAGGTCGAACTATCTTAAACTCTATGATAGGATTTCTTACAGAAAAGTGAGACAAAACAAAAAGATACCAAAAAGTTCTAAAGAAAAAAATCTGTTTAATTTATACCTAACTTCGATATATTTATCTTCATAAGGATCTCTTAAATGAGGACAGTCTCCAATAAACCTAAGTTGCACAGTGATAATCAAAAAATTATGGAATAGAAAGATGACTGTTTTGAACAGCCCAATGATTAATGAACATGAAACACTGCAATTTAGCAGTGCAGTACACTGTACACAGACCATTTTAAATAACTAGTTGACTTTCAACGTAAACACAACGTACATTCAACACAGAAATTTAGCAGTGCAGTACACTGTACACAGACCAATTCAATTAATTAGTTGAATAGCTTTCAACACGAACACAACATCCAACACACAGAAGATTGCTAAAATATCGTCTCTTTGTTCCACAGATTTATGGATTCCACTTTAATTTTGATAAAGAGATATTAATAATTCAATTTCTGTTTAAATATGACAAAGATTGGCGGAAAAATGGCAAATTTCAAACATATTTTTGAATTGAAAGAAATAGATTTTTTGGACTGAAAATAGTTTTTAATTTTGACATCGGTGATCTTTTCAACAATTTTTCTTGGCATTATTGAATATAAACTGAAAATATACTCGCAGAATATCAAACCAAATTTTTGAAGCTTTTAAAAAAAGTTAAATTAATTATCTTGCCTTACCCGTTATAGTCTGATGGTGAAAATGTGAATTTTGAATTAGGATTCATAATCTCCACCCTGTATTTTAATTCACCCTCCAAAATCTTTAAGGAGCTGATCTAGAAAAAAAAAATATCTTAATATTTGTAAAATATTCCTTCGGAAGTTTTTGACATCAAAAGAGAACTTTAACAATATAAAAAAAATTTTCAGGTCTTTTTTAATTTTTAAAAATATTTAAAAGTATAAATTTTTTTTAACGATGTACAGTGAGTCCCAAAAAAATTTTCTGATAAAAACTTAATTAGAACTATTAAAATATTAAAAATATTGCAGTTTTATCAACTTGAAATCACAAATCTTTAGTATAATATTCTTTAAAGATGAAAGATGAAAGATGTCAATAATTCTCTTATTGTCTGGTCACCACTGTAAATAAAGAAGTATGTAGAAATGTTTTACCTCTGAACATTTTGCACTTTTCATCACAGAATTATTAAAACATCCATGAAGCGCAGTTTTGTAATCTAGATTTTTGACATCTTTTCCCAACTATTTAACAATGTTTTAGAAGAAAACAAAAACATGTTTTATCCTGAAATGGATTTTTTAAAACATTGGCTTCTTTATAAACTAGGCTTTTAGGGCGCTTCGCGCCCATCTTCTATTTCAACTTTTAATTGTGGCTTTATCTGTGAGCATCTTCTCTTTGTACAGCATAAAACAAAAACAAAAAAGTTTGCGGATTTCATAATATTTTTTCGCGCATTTTCTAAATTTTACAAAAATAAAAAACTTTTAAACACAAATTTTTGAAATTTTGATCATTCATAAACCTTCCCTGGGGTCACGTGAGGTCCCAAACAAAATTTGGGCCCGATCGGTTCAGCCGTTTTGACGTTTATTGGATACCAAACAAACAGACAGACATACACACAAGCTAAATTTATGTATAGAAGTGAGTTGCGGATTTTTGCCGCAGAGACAATGAAGGAAATTTTCAGAATTTAACACTTTTTACAAAAGAAAAACTTGTACAGTGGTCGAATTTAGAGAATTTTAAATTTAAGCCGCGGTTTAGATATGGTTGGTTTCACTTAAAATTGTATCAAATGTTTCAAGATTTAAGCCGGCGCTGAATTTAAACCGGGTTTTGGCGGATTTAAACCGCGGCTCAAATTCTTTAAATTCCATCTCAGGTTCGGATAAAGCAACGATTGGTCTCATGTGTACAGTAATATATCAAAAGAATATTAAAGACCAAAAAGCCTAAGTTATCAAAATTATTTTTATCTCGTTTTTTATTAAAAATTGATATTACCCCGAAGAAATAGATTTTATAGTTAAAGACTAAAATGTATAATTTCAGATAAAAAAGTTTTAATGCTTAAATTTATAATTTGGGAGAAAAAATGTAAATATCAAAATTTTCCTGGATAAATGTAAGTTATATTCTCCCCTGTATGTTCTCCTTTCTCATCAACCTTAAACAGACACTTTTTTTACATCGTCTTCACACTTCAAAGTTCCTGAAAATAAAAAGAATTATAACTATTTTCTATCGGACCTCAAACAGTGGGTTATTAAAAATGAATGAGAATTGTGTTCACCATATTTAAAGATTTTTTTCTTCGCATTTTTATATGAATAACCCCTGTGCGTATCTGTTCAAAAAAATAAATTATTTTTGAAAAAACATCTAACAGGGGATCAAAAATATAAAATATAATGCAATGTTATTCTTATCCATATAATTTTCATATTCATTCATATAATATTTTGGTTGGGTAAACCAAAAGACAAGACGTTGCGACACTTCAAAGTCGAAATGGTCTTTAAAGGCATAATTTCAAAGAGTTGGCTCCCCCGTGAAGACCCAAACATTGATTTTAATGAAATAAGCGTGGGAAGGAAAGGCATGTGTGTAAAGCTAGATCTCAGTGTTCCATTCCCATATCAAATTGGAATATAACTTTCAAATATGCACAAATGTCAAAATATGCACAAATGTTAAAATATGCACCAAATACTCAAATAAGCCTTGCATATTTTTCGTGCCTATTTTAACATTAGCGTTTTACAACTTAAAATCCCAATCCCAATCTAGAACTTTGTCACGTCAAACTTAAGTAAATTTTACATATGATTAAAATATTATACAGTGAAACCCTAAATAACGAATACATCGAAAGAATGCATCAAATGTCGTCTTTTTCACTTTCTGATAATGGAATGTTGCAGATATTTAGTCTTTTAGTTAAATGATTATATGGATCTCTTTAAAACTGTTCCCGCATATTCATGGCTATTTATTTATTCTCGCAAATACCGAAATTTACGAAATATAGTATAAAGCTCATTGAAAAATTGTCAAGACTTCCGATGTATTCTTTATTAAGGGTTTCACTGTATGTTTTAGTTCATAATTACTTTTTTATCGAATGCTATTGAGCTGAAAAACAAGTCTTGAATATCTATTATGTAACCGCATCATTTCCCCTCATAATTGTAATCTTGTCGTAATCTTACACATTATTGACCTTTTCTCTCTGTCCAGTGTGCAGTGATTTACGATTCAATCAATGTAAACTCCGGTTCATTTCAAGCACCGGGCCGACTTTTAGGCATCTAGAGCAAGCTGTACTGCAGTACACATACAGACTATACGGGACTGGACATCCCTTTTTAAATAGATTATATTGCAATATGTAGGGATGTTGTAATTACGCGTAAGAGAATAATCTATTACGTTGGAAACCCTATTTATCGATCGTTTTCAAAAACGATTAACAACCCTAATGATGGGACACACTGTTTGAGGAAAAAGTTACCTCCCCGATGATAATTCCTCCGCCCTCCCACTCCTTGGCCAAACATAGTCCTGTAGCCACGCCCATTTTTACATGGCCCGCCCAAACCCACTCATCATCAAAATATCTACAAAGTTGAATTATGTTCAGCAAAAACGCTTGGTTAAACGTCTTTTAAACAAGTCAGAAAAAAAATTAGAAAATAAAAAAAAATTTCTTGTAAAAAAAGAGAGTTTCAAACATTAAATGCGATAATGCTAATTTAGTTTAAGGTCGATTACCTTAAAGCTAAGCCGTGAATTAAACCGTTCCTAAAAATAGTATTTAAAACATTTTTTTTATTTTCAAAATTAAAATGATAAAAGTCACCTTAGAAATACTTTTAGATAGGTTCCATCGTTGTAAAACAGAGTGTAAGGACCGTTCTTTAGGAAATTGCCAGAAAACCGTTAAAAAATAAAATAAATAATTTAATTTACAAATGTTTATTAATTGTAAATGTTTATATTGGACATCTATTTTTTAATTAATGTGTTTAAACAAAAACTGACTTTATTCTGGTTAATTCTTACACTGTCTCCAATTCTCAGACAAAAGTGACAACAAATTAGAATCTGGTCAAACTCAAAAGTGCATTTTGTAAAATTCAAAGACTTGTTTAATGAAAAATATTAAAGAATTTTAAAAAGCTAAATATCCTCCCTCCCCCCCGTCCCTAAATGAAGGGACCAAATATAAAGTTAACAGCTGGTTCTTAAATCTGTATTACAGGGTATGAAAGTAAATTGAACAAAAAAGTTTGATCACATTCTTTACTCTTGTCTTTACTCTAGTTCCTACCTTCCTTGTATATGGTGCAGACATGAATCAGGCTTAAACCTTAGATTTAAAGAAATGTTTTTAAAAAATTACTTTAAAATCCATGATTTGAAATTTGTTGTGCTAATCAAAAAGACCCGGAATTAATTTACTATTAATCAGATGACTTTACAATCTAAAAATGAAAAATCGCCTGATTAACTGTTAATTAATTCCGGGTCTTCCTCATTATGTTTGTTAACTAAAATTCTTAATTATTTAAAAATTTAACGTTGAAATTTTAAGTCATGCTTTCTAGCTTTTAATATTAATCACTACTATATCTTTGGTCACTGGTCAGTGTACTGCAAAATACTGCAGAACGCACCGAAGCTTAGTTTATGCAATAAAAGTGATATTATTTTGCAGTTAAGAATTTTTTCTAAACATTTTCCTTCCAAACTGTGAATATTTTGGCCAAATCCAAGATTTTGTTTTTGTAATTGTCTTCAAACCCTTCATATCCTCAAGATCTTCATCAAACTAAAATAAACAGTTATTATTACGATATACTAAACTTGTGTTTTATTTTATAATCCTGATCAGCCTAAAACTAAAGAACGAAAGGTTTTGAATTAATTTAAACCTGAATTTTCACCCTGGGGTTAAATATTCAACTCTCCGAAATCAACGAGTTAAAATTTAAACCAAGGGTTAAAATCTTGAAATACCGCATTTTCCCAATTTGTCTATCAATCAATAAGATGATGTATCTTTCGACCTACACAAATCCGCTATACTACACATCCAAGCTACTAGCACGTGGTTTTACAGCGGCTAGATGGACTTCCCCCTAGCCTGTCCTAGCCGCAGCGCTCAGCCTAGTCTGTCCTAACCGCTGCGCTCGACCCAGAAATTGCCTTAACCTAACCAAACCCTCAAATAATACAAAAATAAACAGCTGGCGTAGGTCCGATATTGCAGTAGGTCGGAAAGTTAGTAGGTCAGAATTTCAGTAGGGGGGGGGGGGGTGTTGCGTGTAGACGATGTAACACTACCATCAATTATCATTCAGCTGCATGAGAAGTATTCATAATTTGAACTTTAATTACTCCATGTATTGTACATGTATATGCCATGTGAATATAATTTTTTAAACCTTAAGGGGGAAATTCATTTTTTAAAACCCACTTCACTTGGTTTTTCAGTAAAAACATTTGTTTGTTACTTGTTGCTACATTTTAAACCCCATTTAGACTTGAGAAGTGTTTATGTCTGGGGAATAATATATGATCATAATTAATCTATTTTTAAAAATTTCAAACATAAAGTTTAGATGAGAGATAACATACTTGTGTACAACCCCTTTTAGCATAATTGCTCTTTAATATATGTTAAATATAATATTAAAAAATCTTTATAATTCCCTATTCTATGCCCACAAAGAGACTGTTCAACTCTTCAAATACGTATGTTTAGACTAACACTTCTTCCTTGAATGTCGTCTTTATATAGATTATTTAATGAAAGGAGTTCAAAGTTTTAGTGACTCATGTTCCGTGCAGTCGTCACTGAAGTCACATCCTTTATGAGAAAACTTCTACTAGCTTGGGAACCCAGCGTTGCCCAGGTTACTCCCGCCGTTTACCCGCATTTGGTCGATTTTGACGGGACTAAATTTTTTCTACTAAAATCAATAACTTATGCAACTTAGACTCTCAAAACCAAGCTGACAATATTTAAGTGGTTCTTCCTAGTTCATCAATCAAAATTTGAGGCAAATCGGTCAAGGGGTTTCTGAGTTATGATCAGACAAACAAACAGACGGACACCCAAACAGAGACTACAACTTTATATATATAGATACTAATAAAGAAATTAAAAAACCTTGAAAGTATCTTCTTGATATTGATCCTCTGATATTCCGAACAGCGAATAAAATGGAATAGGTTTAAAAGGTTCCTCTTCGTAATTGATTTCATCGTTGAAATCTCTTCTTGATTCATCTTGATATGCATCCTCTAAACTCCTGCAGTATGTACTATAGAAATTCATCTTATGTACAGTTGTAACCAAGGTTGTTTACTAAGGTTGCTTATCTGAATGCGCTACAATGTACGGAAAATGTCGTCTTCATAGCAATGGACATATAAAACCTTGATAAGAAAACCTATGTTGTAACTATGAATGATGGGCAGTAAGTTTGTTCGTTTTTAACTTGTTTTTCAACCACTCAATCTGAAAATTTAAAATTTGTTTATTCTAAACATTTGCTTTCTTGACACTATGCCAAACTTTTACCATTTTCTTGGGAAATCAATGCAAAAAGCAATAAAATCATAACAACAGGGGTTTTTTTTACTTTGAATTGTCATTTGTCTCTTTGGATAAAAATTGTATGATTTAATAAAAGCAAAATTTTACAGTTTTGAAATATTGATAACTTTACATCAAAAACCTTAAAAGTCTTTGGAAAACTATCCAAGTTATTAAAAGTTATTAAAAGTTATTAAAACAAAAAACTTATAATTTATTTAGCTTGTGTCATCCCCAAGGGTATCCATGTGTTTCCTCCCTAAAATTCGGCCCAATCGTATTCAGCCGTTTTGTCCCCCCTCCCAGCCCTGGGAGCTCCTAAGGGGGGCACATTTCGCCCCCACCCCCTGTATACGGCCTTGAGTTACACTTTATCAAAGATTAAAAACTAAATTCTTTACCTGAGATACTTCTCAAGAACCATCTTGTTATTTGCCATTGTCAGCTGATGTAAAAGTTATTTGCATTTTTATTTTTTGATTAAAAGTCTCATGTAAATATTATGATTGATCAGTATTTTGCGCAACTTTAAAACTTTTCCCGAACTTTAAACGAAATCAACTAATTCTATATAGGAACAATCAACATAACACTCGCCTCAAATTCTAATTGTTTCTAATCTTAAATGTTTAGAACCTGACGTCTTGAGATTGCTTAAATGTCGTCTACATATTCCATAGTTTTATGGGTCCCACTGTATATAATAAAATTGAACTTATTATTTGTGAATATATTGTGTATCGGCTGCTTCATTCGCTGACCGACCTTAAACTAACAATTCCGAAGCTTTCTTTTTTATATATTATAAGTGCAAGAATATTTACAAAACAGGGTCAGGGGCAGATACAAGGGGGAGTATTGAGGCAATGATGCACCCCTGGAAAATTTCTCCACCTTTGTTTACATCTCAGATGTTTTGAATTCAGAAACAACATTACTCATTTTTTATGTGAGGAGAAAATCTTTTTTCTTCTGAAAGTGCACATTCTTTTTTATTTTGCAGACTTTTTGACACTCTTTGAAATTCTTGACCCGAAAAGCAAATAAATTGATAAACAAAATATACTTTGCACACATTTTGCACGCGCCTGCAGTAATGGTGCCAATTTTTGGTCGAATATTTAGAACAATTGGCTTTAAAAACCCCAATTTACATGCATATTTATCATGCTAAAAACGTCTTCTGAATAGTTTTTCTGGACTTCAGTCTTAACTGTGCAGAGCAAGATGTTGTAAAAACATATTTAAGGCGGAAAATGAATCATTGAGACGGAAAATGAATTATTGACACGGAAAATTAATAGTCGAGAAGGAAACTGAACATAGAAAAAGTTGTTTCGACATGAAAAGGGGCGACAATTACGATATCTTCTAGGAGAAGGGGGGGGGGAGAGCGCACCAAAAGTTGTTATCATCCCCTTGGCAAAATATCCTCCCCTGGAATTTTATATATGTTAAAACCTTGACAAGCTCGAAGGGTGGGAGGGGAGTCGAAGATGTGTGGTCAAATCTTGTTTTTTTTAGAAATTTTCATTTTGACTTTTGGATGATTAATTGGAGCCGTAGGCAAAATTTTGTTGAATCTGTTCTTAATCAAAATTAAAGGGCAGACGCGCCTGATCTATAGCATAGACTCATGTGAGGGGGGTCGACGCCCCCAATTTCTTTGGGGGGTGGGGGCGTAAAGAACGTCCCTCCCCCTATTAAACCGCAAAATCCCACCCTTCATAACCCACTTCTTTAAAAATGTAATTATGCGATGTTTAATGTTATACTTTAAGAAAGATTCTCCCCGTTCGGTTGTTTTCTCTATTTTCCATCGAAACACTTCAGTGAAAAGACGACAAAAATCAAAACCTAGAACAGTTACAGAACGCGGTATTCTGTGTTTTATGCGCACTCTTCAAATAACGTCGATTGTCGAGTGAATCACCGGAGGCGGGGTCGTTAGTAGAGGGCGGAAACGTCATGTATGTGTGTCTGTACCAAAAGAGTGTGCGTGTGTAATATCGAACTCGTCTGCAAAGCAGTGCGACTGGGGTAATTTCATAATATACGATTTTGGACCCCTCCTCCTCCCTATCAAGTTTGTACATGGATATAATTGATCATGTGGTCGCAGCGCCTGGCCCCAGCCTGTCCTATCGGCAGCACTCGGCCCAGAAAGCGTCTTAACTTAACCCAACCCTAAATAATAAGAAAATAAATAATAATAAATTTGCTGAAAAATAAGTGGTCATGTACAAATCTATAGGATGTTGGTGGGTCCAAAAATCGTATAATAGGACGAACCTGCGACCGGGTTTCTTATGCCAGACCAGCGCCATTTCCATTCCCATTATTCCTATTCCCGGGTCGTGAGTCGTTGTTACAACATAAGTATCGTTTACACATTTTTAAAGTTCACTGGCATTTAACCAACATTTCAGAAATACCCATGATCGTTCCAACATCTAAAATACCTGAACGACTAAGCTAGTAAGAGATTGCAATGGAGTCTTCCAAAAAAGCAAAAACAGATTACATCATGCTTGACAAAGTAACAAATCTGGGGAATCTACCATATCTACCTCTAGAAATAATATTTAAGTATTTGAGAGCCAGAGATCGAAGAAGTTTAAGTCTGACGAACAAACACATTCTATCAATGTTTTTAAACTTGAAAGATTGGAGGTTTGCTGAAATGAACTCGAGTGAATTGAAGCTCTTTTCTCAATGTATCCGCAACATTCGAGTTCTGGTTTTCGAATGTTTGTCGAGTGTGGAAGGCGCAACTTTCAGATGGTTTCTTCAAAACCATCCAGAATTAGTGAGATTGACAATTGGCGAAACTTTGGAGCTCGGATTAACAAGTCTTAGAAGCCTACTCTCCATGCCAAACCTAAAATATCTTGATTATAAATGTTACGGAGACTTTCATAGAAATAATCGCAATTTTTTGAAAACTAATATTAAGCCGATTAGTTTGGAGTATCTTAATCTAACCCTCAATACTTCAGTTAAAGAGAAAACATATCTTTCCATTCTCATGATGGCAGGGAAGGAAATTAAAGCACTCCATATTGGGGATTCTTTGCCAAGCAAAGCTCTAGAGTATATTGGAGAGAACCTAACTGAGCTCCATACCTTAGGCCTCACAGGAACCAATCCCATAAAAAGTGTTGCTCAGATTCTCAAGGAGTGTAAAAAGTTACGTTCTCTTGAAATCCAGTTTAGAAGTAGTAATCCAATTCTAATAACACAACACCTCGCAATCATGGGAGAACACTGCAGTCAGCTTGAATCGCTGTGCATCCTGGACAAATATATGCCAGAGCTTAGTTTCATCAAGTTTATTGCTAAATGTAAAAGCGTAAGATCTCTGTCTCTTCCATATCATCTCTCTGTAGAGAGTTTATCTGAGCTGGTCAGTCTTAGGCCAGAGGTTCTTCATGTAGATAATTATAGAGGAAGTACTCCATGTCTGAACACACACTTGTCCATATTACTATCCGGTTTACCGAACTTACAAGATCTATCTTTATCTACCGGGATAATTGAGGATAATCTTGACTTACCGGATCAGTCAAAGCATGGTCTGAAAAGTCTCAAACTCTCTCTGTGCCGACTTGGTTCTGAAGGGCTCAAGAAACTTCTGGAGAAATGTCCAGGCTTGATAAATCTTGATCTGGGACACAGTGACCTCAACGACGAAACCTGGAGAGATATTGTGAGCAGCGGTAGTATTCCAAATATTCGGAGAAGCTGGACTTCTACTAGGTCTTAAAAGATGTTTTGTACTCAATACAAACTTTATGTACCATACACTGGTGAGATTTATAAACCATAAAATGTCTTGGAGGCCCTCGGCTAAGTGGTTATCCTATCAATTTATGAAATGTCTATTTTTTTCAGACAAACTTGTTTTAAAATGTTATGCCGGGGTGTTGTTCATCTTTCTCGTTGTACTCCAGTTAAATCTTGGTCTAGAAATACGGTCATAGTAAAGAGGGTTTACAAACCTCCCCTTGTTAAAGTTCCAGGTGCAACATTTATTTTATTGTTTAATTCTACATTATTGTAATCAAAGATATTCCATTTTTTGTTTTGATGGAAACATAAAGAACCTTTAAAAACCGTCTTAGCCACAGCGCTCGGTCCAGAAATACAGGTACATCGTACACAATTGACGTGAATGGGGNGGGGCGGGAAACAGGTTTTTGGTTACAATACTCATCTTAAAATACATTTATCTTGTGTTTCATGGTGAGAATGGACAAAATGAATATTTTCTGATCTTTTCATTTACAAACATTGTATCAATTGTAGCTAAACCATTGATTTATGATGATTTCAATTTATTATTATTTTTCCTGTTCATATATTTATCATAAATTGTCCTTATTGGCAAAAAAGGTTTTCTTTCTTGCAGATAGATAAACTTTGGGTTGGAAATTAATTTCGATTTATTTTTATATCCTCATCAGTCCAACAGAAAATGGCCAAAATTACTACATAGTTAAATGAAAAAATTATAACAACAAAAAGGCAATTTGCAGAAAAAGTAAACAAAACCCCTGGTACATTTTTTAGAGGTCATAGTGTACATAGGTTGCGTATAGGAGACGTAAAGATTGAAAAAAAACTTTATTTAAAAACAAAATTACAACGGATTCAGGATGATTAAGATATTTAAATAGATTCTAATGACCATCAGGTGGGAGCGCTCCAAGCGCGTTCAAGTATTTGTTTGGTCTTAAATTCGTGTGTAATATGCCCATTTTATGAGTTTTCACGGTTATCTTTTTTCCGTCGGATTTGAGAACTTCCAACTCAACATTACTACAACTTACAAACTTCTCTAAACAAAAATTTCTTCATCGACCAAGCCTTATTTGACTTACATAAAAGGTTTATGGTGTAAACTCAATAATGTAGACCCCCCCTCGATACCCCATTGTGTGTGTGTGTGTGGGGGGGGGGGGAGTCAAAAAGCCGTTTTGTGGCGCGACAATGCGATGTCCCACTAAAATTATTATATTATTATATTGTAGGTTTTGACCCATTGGACGCTCCTCGTCATGCTGTAGATAAAAGCGTTGTACACACAGAGGACGACAAGTACATGGTTTACGAGATAGAAGAGAAATTTCAACCTCCGCAGACTGTTAAGGTCATCCTGCTACGAAACGTCGACGATTACGGGGTCAAAGGTCAAATTATCTCTTTTCCTGACCTTGAAGTCCATCGTGACCTCCTTCTTTTAGGCTATGCCGTCTATCATAACAAACAAAATTTGGAAAAATATTCCGATATAATTATACCCGAGGAGACGAAAATGAATTCGTCAGAATCGGCTCGTCTGCTCGCGATGAAATGGTCCAAGCGAGTTCTTGATATTTGTATGAACATGGACAACAGTTGGACCATTGAGAAATGGCATATTAAAATTGCGCTGAGAAAGCATAGAACCTGGACCAGCGAGGAGAATATTGAAATACCAGGAGGAGAAATATCTGGACCTAACCTGGATTTAGAGAACAAGGAGTTCATTGCAATTCTTTCGATAAATTATTTCGAGAAGGTTAAAATTCGATGCCGAATTCATCATCTTGCAACGGATCCATCCAGAGCTATTAAACTAGAATCTTGGTATTTCAGGCAAGTTGCTCTATTCTAGTGAATACCTGAATTCAAATCAATTTACAAATTTAAAAAAAATTGAAATTTAACCAAGTTAGGGCAAAAAGAAACACATTTATTTAGTACTCAGATATATTTAAAATCTGAAAAAAAATTTCTCCATAACTTAACAATTTCAACATTTTTCAATTCTGTAAACTGTATTAAAATACGGATCTACTGATACCCAACTCAATATGATTTTCAATTTTATCCTTGAAACCAATTAGCGACGGCCATTTTTAATTTTTTGTGATAAATACCTTTTGTAAACATTTCTTAGAATTCCTAGAAGAATACTTTTTGAAAATGATTCCAGAAGAATATTTCGCACTAGTAAACACCCTCGGAATTCTATCTGATAATTTGCCGTATTCCAGGGCCAGTGAACCAGTGTGGGAACATGAACGCCAGCAGCTGATTGATATGAACAAGCAGCCCCCCTCTTTCAAGCTCCTCACCACCAGCAAGCTCGAGAAGGACGTCCAGATATACAAGCAGTGGAAGCTGGACCGGGAGAAGAGGCTCGGAGAGATGGACGAGAAAAAGCGACTCGAAGAATAAATAATATTTGTTTAAATTTCAGATTTAATTCATCTCACAGAATGGGAGAGAGCACCAGATCTTATTCAAGTTTAACCCAGGTGAGATAATAAGTTTAACCCAGGTGAGATAATAAGTTTAACCCAGGTGAGATAACAAGTTTAACACAGGTGAGATAATAAGTTTAACCCAGGTGAGATAGCAAGTTTAACACAGGTGAGATAATAAGCTTAACCCTAATGAGATAATAGGTTTAATCCCAGTGAGATAATAAGTTTAACCCAGGTGAGATAATAAGTTTAGCCCAGGTTAGATAATAAGTTTAACCCAGGTTAGATAACAAGTTTAACACAGGTGAGGTAACAAGTTTAACCCTAAGTTTAACCCAGGTGAGATAACAAGTTTAATCCCAATGAGATAACAAGTTTAACCCAGGTGAGATAATAAGTTTAACCCAGGTGAGATGATAAGTTTAGCCCAGGTGAGATAACAAGTTTAAAAGAGGTGAGATAATAAGTTTAATCCCAGTGAGATAATAAGTTTAACCCAGGTGAGATAACAAGTTTAACCCAGGTGAGATGATAAGTTTAGCCTCGGTGAGATAATAAGTTTAACCCCAGTGAGATAATAAGTTTAACCCAGGTGAGATGATAAGTTTAACCTAGGTGAGATAATACAATTAACCCCAGTAAGATAATAAGTTTAACCCAGGTGAGATGATTAGTTTAATCCCAGTGAGATGATAAGTTTAATCCCGGTGAGATTATAAGTTTAACCCAGGTGAGATAATAAGTTTAACCCAGGTGAGATAACAAGTTTAACACAGGTGAGAAAATAAGTTTAACCCTGGTGAGATATTAAGTTTAACCCAGGTGAGATAATAAGTTTAACCCTGGTGAGATAATGAGTTTAACCCTGGTGAGATAATAAGTTTAACCCCAGTGAGATGATAAGTTTAAGCCAGGTGAGATAAGAAGTTTAACACAGGTGAGATAATAAGTTTAACCCAGGTGAGATAGCAAGTTTAACACAGGTGAGATGATAAGCTTAACCCTAATGAGATAATAAGTTTAATCCCAGTGAGATAATAAGTTTAGCCCAGGTGAGATAATAAGTTTAGCCCAGGTTAGATAATAAGTTTAACCCAGGTTAGATAACAAGTTTAACACAGGTGAGGTAACAAGTTTAACCTAGGTGAGATAATAAGTTTAACCCGGGTGAGATAACAAGTTTAATCCCAATGAGATAACAAGTTTAACACAGGTGAGATAATAAGTTTAAGCCCAATGAGATAACACGTTTAACACAGGTGAGATAATACGTTTAACCCAGGTGAGATAATAAGTTTAACCCAGGTGAGATGATAAGTTTAGCCCAGGTGAGATAACAAGTTTAAAAGAGGTGAGATAATAAGTTTCCCGGTCAGATAACAAGTTTAACCCAGGCGAGATAATAAGTTTAACCCCAGTGAGATAATAAGTTTAACCCCAGTGAGATAATAAGTTTAACCCAGGTGAGATGATAAGTTTAACCCAGGTGAGATAATAAGTTTAACCCTGGTGAGCAATATGTTTAAACCAGGTGAGCAATAAGTTTAACCCCAGTGAGATAATAAGTTTAAACCAGGTGAGATATTAAGTTTAACCCAGGTAAGATAATAAGTTTAACCCAGGTGAGATAAGTTTAACCCCGGTCAGATAACAAGTTTAACCCAAGTGAGATAATAAGTTTAACCCCAGTGAGATAATAAGTTTAACCCAGGTGAGATAACAAGTTTAATCCCAATGAGATAACAAGTTTAACCCAGGTAAGATAACAAGTTTAACCCAGGTGAGATAATAAGTTTAACCCCAGTGAGATAATAAGTTTAACCCCAGTGAGATAATAAGTTTAACCCCGGTCAGATAACAAGTTTAACCCAGGTGAGATAATATTTAACCCCAGTGAGATAACAAGGTTAACCCAGGTAAGAAAATTTAGCAAAAAAAAAATTCATAATTTTTCACAAAATTTTTTTTTTTTTTAAAGGTTCAGCAATGAAAAACTTCGACGTGGAATCTGCAATATGTCTCATACTTGTAAGCTGTAAACCTTAAACAGTTTTAATTTCTCTATCAAGGCATCAACTTCCCCTAGGATTTAACTATAACAAGACACTTTTAGCATTTTTAAATCTAACATGTGCACGTCGGCGGGAGAGAGAAAATTGTTGAGGGGAGAGCGGGATTTTAAATAAAAGCTACAATATATTCTGTAAATAATGATCTAATATTTATGGTTTGTTATTTAGGAGACATCTGGTTATGTTGGGTTTGCAAACCTACCCAACCAGGTTCACAGGAAGTCAGTTAAGAAAGGATTTGAGTTTACTCTAATGGTGGCAGGTACACTATGCATTTTCAATTTATTACGTTTTTTGAAGTATATTATTTATTTCAGTGCTTAAGATCAATTTATTTCTGATGCGGGTTTACTGTTGTTTTTAAGAAATGAAATTTTTTTATTTTTATTTTTTCCTTTCTTTTTTTCAATGCTGTAAAGTGTATCTAAATTTTGTTATAACTGGTTTGGGTTGATATTTAGCTCCTTGGATCTTGATCCATGGATCCAAATCTGGATCAGAGTCCAGGAAGACAAAACGTTGCGGATCCATAGCACCGTTTTTATTTATAGCTTGAAAAACTTCACCACTTGTACTGCTGTCAATCGTCAATGGCACTCATTGATTGGAGACTCATTTAAATATTGCGTTGACAATCCTAATAAATAAAAAATAATTCTGATTTAATTCAGGAGAGAGTGGTCTCGGTAAATCAACATTGATCAATTCCCTTTTCCAGACAGACCTGTATCCTGACAGGTACATAATCGAGTAACTGTAGGGCAGTGCTTAGGATCAATTTGATCTTGATGCGGATCCGGATCCTGGATCCGCACTGGAAATAAATGGATCAGGATCCCGATTCAGGTCGTTTCTTTAAGATTTCTTGAACTCTGAAAAAAATGAGAATTTTCAAGTTGTGTTTATTGTTCGCTTAATTGTATGCTAAAACTAGATGAACTCTTCAGAAATCAAGAACTTGTTTTTCATAGTGCAGATTCGGATTTTGAGAGAAAAAAAATATTATTTTTTGCAGTTTTTGGTTGATATTTTACCCCTTGGATTCGGATCCGTGGATCTGCATATTTTGCGGATTCGGATCTGGATCCAGAAAGCCAAAATCCTGTGGATCCAACGGATTCGGATTCAGTAAGCATTGCCGCAGGGTTTTAGATTTTTAGAAAAACGATATTCCAACTCATTCTTTAAAATCATATTCTGGTTTCCATTACTCTTAAAGAAATGATTTGATGATTTTCATTGCTAATTTGGAGGAGAAAGATGGTCTTCAAAAAAAACTAAATTGCCTTTTAAAGTCGATTTTTTCTTAAATTGTTTAAAGCTATCACTACATTAATACCTGTGCATTTTTACAAAAATAAAATAATGGCATACGGTTCCAAATCCAAAACTAGAAAAAATTATCACAAAAGGGGGGGGGCCACAAAACGTATTACTCTCCGGAAAATTTAAACAGTGTTTAAACATAACTTAGAATTGTCGTAGGAGGCTGATTTTTTGCATGCAAACTCAGAATTATGTATATTACGTGCATTTTTTGGTTTTGAAGGAATATGAGCAAAAGTGCGCGCGCGCGCGCGTTTTTTGTGAAAAAATGGGACTTTTTTGACAGTAATCCCCCCCCATCTTTGAAAATCATTTTACTATATTTCAAGTTTTATTAATTTTATTGTGTTCAGATACTTGAAGGATGAAAGTGGGTTGAACAGGAAGAATATTATTGATAATCGTGTACACTGCTGCTTCTACTTTGTATCTCCCTACGGACATGGTCTCAAACCTTTAGATATAGATTTCATGAAGCAGTTGTCTAACAAGGTACACTATATATATACCACTTACTACAGTGGTAGGCGATTATATCAGCAATAAAAAAGACTTTTATATTTTAGTCTAACAAGTTTTTTTCGAACTTCAAGTTTATAAGTGATCAAAGAGAGAATCTTTTTTTTATCGACAGCTTCTCTGTGTTCCCACGTTTATATTCATCCATGCTGTTAAACGCTTAATTTAAATAAAAAATTTTAAATCAAAAGTCGTGTTCATTGAATTGATTTGATTTATGCAACGACGACTGTAGATTTTAGCCAAGTTTTTAAATTTTCACTCTTATCTTTTTAACGTGGTAAAATGTTATTGCGAACAAAAAACAAACTGAAAAATACTAAAGAATTTTGTAGAATGGATTTGTTTGTTTGTTTTGGTTAAACAATAAGTGCCCTTAGATTGATTGATTGATTTGTTAAATGATTGATTGATTGATTCGTTTAATGGTTGATGATTGATTCGTTAAAGGATTGATTGATTTTATAAAATGATTGATTGGTTCGTATAATGATTGATTCGTGAAATGATTGCTTCGTTATATGATTGTTTCGTTATATGATTAATTCGTTAAATGATTGATTCGTTAAATGATTGTTTCGTTAAATGATTGATTCGTTAAATGATTAATTTGTTAAATGATTGATTCGTGAAATGATTGATTCGTTAAATGATTTTTTCGTTATATGATTGATTCGTTAAATGATTGATTCGTTAAATGATTGTTTCGTTAAATGATTTATTCGTAAAATGATTGATTCGTTAAATGATTGATTCGTTAAAGGATTTATTCGTTAAATGATAGATTCGTTAAATGATTGATTCGTTAAATGATTGATTCGTTAAATGACTGATTCGTAAATGATTGATTTGTTAAATGATTGACTCGACAAATGATTGATTCGTTAAATGATTGAGTCGTTAAATGATTGATTCGTTAAATGATGTTTCGTTAAATGATTGATTCGTTATATGATTGATTTGTTTAATGATTGATTCGTTAAGTGATTGTTTCGTTAAATGATTGATTCGTTAAATGATTGATTCGTTAAATGATTGATTCGTTAAATGATTGATTCGTTATATGATTGATTCGTTATGATTGTTAAATGATTGATTCGTTAAATGATTGATTGATTCATTAACTGATTCTTAATGATTAGTTGATTAATTCATTGATTCGTTAAATGATTGATTGATTGTCCAGGTATCTATAGTACCCGTACTGGCCAAGTCTGACTGCCTGACTGCATCTGAGATAAAGAAAATGAAAACAAGAATTCTCGACGAGATTAAGGTAGGAAGAAGCATTGCTTTAAAAAATAAATTCATAATTTGAAATTCCAAAAAAATATTTAGTCAAGTTTTTAAATTACTTTCCAATTGGGTTGGTAGTAGGAGTTACAGTGATTACAAAACCTGCATTATTATTATTATTATTATATAATGCATATTTGATACATTTTTGCGTAAAATACAAAAGAAATTGTTTATCTTATCATTTTGTGACAAATGACGTGTTTTTTAGATTGTTTTTTTTTACTTTCAGTATTTTTTCAGGTGTTTAAATTGTGGTATTTTTCACCAGTATCCGAAGTTAATAAATTTAAGCCACGTCTCAAAATCCCCAAAACCGGTTTTAATTGACCGCTGGCCTAAATTTTGAAAAGTTAAATACAAAGTTAAGTGAAACCAGCCATAATTGAGCCGCGGCTTAAATTTAAACGGCGGCTTAAATTCTTTAAATTCGGCCTCAGGTTTCAAAAATTTATTTTACATTTTAAAAAGGAACTATTTTAGGAGAACGGTATCCGTATCTACAATCTACCGGATTGTGATACAGACGAGGATGAAGAGTACAAAGTACAGGTTAGTCATAAAGTAGTGTTGCACTGGGATTACCGGATCCGAGCTAAAAACTATTGTATCGGATACCCTTACTACTTAGGCCTAAATCTCTAAATTTTATCAATTCATTTTAAAATTATTCGTTTCAACTCATGAATACCCTTTTTAAACACTCAGTTAACCGGGAGGGAGATTCTCTCTGTCAGCATTTAAATATGTATTTAATACAACTGTTTGGCAACTAGCTGACAAAAGGAATCAGACCGGTGACATGGCTCAAATTTGGTCGTGTGTCCGACATTAGGATTTAAACTATGTCAGGCTGAAAAGTCTTCACCTATAGGGGATTGTGATGGCATACCCCTTGTAGGTCAAGGAGCTGTTGGACGCATCCCTAGCTGTATGATATGATATGACAGAATGTAATTTGATTAAAGTTTACAATAAACTGCTCGTTATTCTAGCTTAAGTATAATTGACGACATTGTTCTGCACTTACATTGAATGTAGACATGTGTGTGTGTACCAAAAGAGTTTGCCTATGTAATAAGGAACTCGTCTGCAAAGCAGTGCGACTAGCTATCTCATGCCAGACCAGAGCCATTTCCTTTCCCTTTATTCTTGTTCCTTGTATATAATTAATGGTTTCCGACCAATAAGACTTCTCTAATTGGCACGCAAAATTAAAAATTTTCTCAGCTTTTTATTTGCTGTTCGGTTTCTTAAATCAACGCTCTGATTGGTTGCATTTCAGACACTTTGTCGGCTAATAATGTAAGATTAAATTAATCTGCAGATTAAGAAAAAGATGTGTTCAACCATTGATTTCGATATCCACAATGCTAAAATTTTCAGCTTGAATCCAGATTATAATTGACTCGGATCTTCTTCTGCAATTAGGATTTCCAGCGAATTTAAGAATCGTTGCGCATAATTCTGGTTCGCAAGTTAATACCTATATTGCGCAAATAATTCTTACAGTGGTTGCGGAAACTGTGCCCGTGTAAAATGATATGATAATTTTCGACCATAAAATTCAATTTAAAGAAGTATGCACAATTTAAAATGAATAACAATTGCATATTGCACAAAAATAGAATTTGACATGCTATTAAAACCAATGTTCAGAAAATAATTATTTGCCTGAACTTTCTTGCAATCATATTCCCGCAATTATTTGCAAAATTACGCAGTATAGTGCGAATATAAGTTAAGTTCCATTTCAGATCTACTATTTTTATTAATCTATAATTTCTACAGGTTGGACAGTTGAGAGAATCCATACCCTTCGCTGTTATTGGAGCTAACGCTTCGGTAGAGGTGGCTGGGAAGAAGGTAATATTAGTCGGTTTAAATATTTCTGAAGATTATAAGTTTACAAAAAAAAGTGGTTAAAAGGGGAAAAGCAAAGGATTCAACATTGTTTTATAAAAATACTTTTTAATGGCGGCCTGTCTGCAACAAAAGTCCAGAATTAGTAAACTTCGTAATAATCGGGGGAAATTGTTAGAAAAGGGATGATGGTTAGGTGGGTCACGACTCATAGAGATCTTAAAATTTAAGTCTGATATTGGTCAGACAAATTTTCAAGTGAAAAAGATTTGAAAAAAAAGGGAGAAGTAAATATTAAACAATTGATCGCAAATCCTTTCTTTAAAGGGACTGTAAGCATAATTTCAATTGACCCTCTGATGCAAAGATGCTCTACGATACCCTTGAAGCCTTGCATTTAACAAAAATGTGTAATATACCGTCCTAATTCTGACTCCAATTTTAATTTCTGATTTCAATTGATAATTCAGATAATTTCTCGGTTGTTTCTTGCAGGTCACTTATGCAGAGAACCCGGAAATGAAAAGAAACAGTTAATAGAAACAGAAACATCAATATCTAATTCATGCTTGATTAGACAAAGCTTTTAAGGGTTCCGTTGTCATCTATGAATGGAGGGTCACTTGAAATTACGCTTACAATCTCTTTAATCCTTTTAATGTTTGTTATTTCCAGGTTCGAGGACGGCAGTATCCCTGGGGTGTTGTTGATGTTGAGAACCCGGAGCATTGTGATTTCATCAAGCTTAGAACTATGCTGATCACACACATGCAGGACCTTCAAGAGGTAGACAAGGGTGTATATACAGGAGTCCTGAAAATAAAAATAAAATATACATTAAAAAATTAATGAAGTTGTTTTAAAATTTATTTAAAAGCATATGACCTCTAGGGAAGAAAGAGATTTAATCAATAAATCAATGAAGTTTTTAAAAAATCAAATTAAAAACATAATACACGTATATACAGGACCTTCAAAAGGTAGAAACTCAATCAATCAATTATGTTATAAATCAATCGTTCACGTTCTTAAATAATCAATTAAGAAACACATTTACGTAGTGTAAAACCTTAATTAATCAAATATATTTTAAATCAATCAATCATAAATAATCAAATTACAAACATCCACGCATGTAGCACTTTCAGAAGGTTGAGACTACATCAATCAATCTTTAATCAAACAAATTAACTGTCGAACAATCAAATATATTTTTAATCTAAATCAAGAAAAACGTAAAAATAGATGAATTGAATAAATGATTAGGTAAAAAAAAGTATTTTATATTAGAATAAAAAATTGTTAAAAAATAAAATATTTGCTGAAACAGGTGTAAAGACAATAACTATAAAATTTATTATTCAATAATTAAATCAATTTTAATATTCTAACAAAGGTTACTCATGATGTTCATTACGAAAACTTCCGTTCCCAGCGGTTATCTCGTGGTGGCTCTGCCACATCCGGCAAATCCTTCGCTCCGGATACTACAGATAAACTTCTGGCGGAAAAGGATCAGGAACTTAAACGAATGCAGGTTTGCTTTTATTCTTAAATCAGAGAAGATCAGAATCAATTAAATCATTCATTTTGCGTTTTTTTTTGTCAAAGAATCAAAGTCTTTCTAATCCTATGACGAAGTACATAGTAGAAACAATTCATTTTTCGTTGGTCAGAAGAGAAATAAATAATTCACGTCCATAAAAAAGTTACCACCTAAGTCGCTAATCTACCTACCGCCGTTTCAAATCCTGAATCTCGGATTCACATTATAATTAATTCTGGCAACTTAGTAATCCTAGCATTCATTCTAGCAATTATTTAAACACTTTTTTCAGGATATGTTGGCGAAAATGCAAGAACAGATGAAGCAACAGAGTACATCAAATCTAGCAAACTACTAGTTCCAAACTGGTTCTAAACTGGTTCTAAACTGGTTCAAAACTTGTTTCGACAAAAAAAACATTAAATGGCAGAGTCCATGAGTTTCAATCTTAAATCAAACTAGAACAGCAAAGTGTTATTGTGAACAAATGTATCATTTACTCCCCCGAAGGATTTAATGATAAGCCCATAGGGGTTAAAATTTCCTTTAATTCTAGACTTTCTAAGTGTAAATGACATTTCTATTCAAAGAGTTGGTTTTTACATAGACGGGTCCTTCATAATTACGTTTTCATATTAGCGGGATTCATTAAAAACTGTTGCACACTAAAAAGAATGTGAGTGAGTTCACTGACCATTTCATTACAAACATCTATAATTTTGAGTTCCTGTTGCAAATGGAGTGTAAATAAAATATTTTTTTGTCACTAAACAATTTTGAGTTTTAAAGTTGAACAATAATTTTGATAAAGAGTTATTCTCCGAATTCAGAACGCATTTTAGAATATAACAGATTCATAAACTTGCAAAGGTTTACTAAAGCACTCCCAACTGGGATAGCGAATCTACTACTCCAATCTGGTAAAAACGGCCTCAAATTTAGCAACTACCCGTGAATAAAAAATCTTTTTTAAAATTAATTTAGTCTTTTAAAACTGCCTTTGTAAAAACATTTGTATTTGAACTTTATTAAACAAAAACAATATTTTCTTTGGTTTTATTTTACCATAGTTTAATGTTTATCAAAGTATTAAATAAGTTCTTCGGGATAAAATTTCAACAAAAAGAAATGTTAAATTTTCACCATCAGGTTGCAAAGATAAAGGGAATTAGAAAATGTTTGAAAGCAGAGTTTGATTTTATTTGAACTTGAAAAGCCTTTTATAGTATGATGGTTGATTGTTTGTTTGTTTGTTTATAGTATACAAACATAACACAAGTTGTAAAATAGTTAAACTGACGAACCAAAGTATCTTTTTCTGATATATCTTCTAACGCATTGTAGTTATAAATACCGTTTTAAGCCTTATGTAATATGTATATTGTATATATATACATTATACAAAGCCTGTTTATAAGAACATATTTTGTAATTTCGTGGATTTCTTCATTTTGTACACCTGCGCACGCACGCACGCACGCACGCACGCACGCACAAGGGTTCATAGTATAAATCATTGCAGGGGCGTTAAATTATAGAAGAATGTGGGAAGGGAGTCGTTGTAAAGATTCCTGTAGACGTAAGAAAATGAATAAAAAGATTAGAAATATAGGGAAGAAAGGAAAACTGGGAGGAAACAACTTGGGATCTTGGAAAATAACAATGGAAAATATATTTAAAAGTTTGCGATTATTTTGAAGAAAAAAGACACAACTGAAGAAAAGAATTTGAATTAAGCTTGAGATTAAATCTTTGATACAATATGTGAACAGTTTTGGCAGACAATGTGTACAAATTTTAAGTTTCCATGTATGATTTTTTTCTTGCATTGAACGCATTAAAGGCTGTAAATAATGATGCTTATGCCTTATTGTTACATACAAACGAGTTTTTGTGATGATTACAAATAATTTTGTAAAGACAATCCATTATGATTTTAAAACGACAATAACCTAAGATTTTTTAATGCTTGATTTTCGTTTTCAGCCTTTTAACGATGTACTAACAACTATTCTTGTACAAAACTAATTTAACTATTTTTGCAGGCAAAATGTCGCAATACCGCGCACAATTGTTAAATCTTGCCTCGACAAATGGTTCCCACAAGGTATAATATAAGATAATTCTATATTTGGTGATTACTAATCATTACTAATTATATGTAAATAATTTTTCTTCAATTTGCTAGAAATTATTGCCTTAGCTCCAATAAAATGAGACTCGAGCTTGCTACCATTTACAAAACAATTCATTAAATTTTCTAATTTGTGATTGTACACTGTCAGGAGAAACCCTTAAATTTTAGTTCTTAAAGGGACTGTAAAGGAAAAATGAAATGGGTATAGACAGAAACCTAAGCATTTTAAGTGATGATCGAGACCTATGAGAGTTCTATCTGATGTTCCTGTCTCGAGAAATTGATATAAACTGTGTCAAAATGCGAAAATCTATATAAATAATAGGGTTAAACGGATCATATTCAGCAAATAAACAACCAATCTGAAAATGACGATATCCCAGAGGAGCCTAAGAACCTTAGGTTTGCTTCTATTATTATTTGAATTTAATCATTTTTCATTTATAAAAGATAAAATTGAAAATATTATTTATACGCCCGTATCACGTGTTCAGAACTCCCACCAATTGCAGTTCAGTATACTGGTCACGTGATACGGGCGTATATATGTATCGTTGTTTTAAGATTGGTTGTGTATTTGCTGAATATGATCCGTTTAAGCCTACTATTTTTATACAAAATTTTATACATATAGATTTTCGCATAAATTTGAAACAAATTTCTCGAGACAGAAACACCAGATAAAACTTTCATGGGTCTCGATCAACTCCTAAAATGCTTTGGTTTCAGCCTATACTCGCTTTCATTTTTCCTTTACAGTCCCTTCAATGCAAATTATGGAACTGGCCGAAGCATTTCAAAATGATATTCTTATTTGAACAGAATGAAAAGAGAGATATTTATGGTAGTTCTTTATTACGTGTAAAATTAGGACTTTTCGGTGTAGTCCTAAATGGGGAATGAATGATTGGGTCTGTCCTTTTTACAATAGGAATTTACCGAATGATTTTGGATTTGTTAACGAGAGGGGAGAGGGGGTATTTTACATTAAATATTTGTTCATACAAAACTTGAGCATTTTAGGACATCTCGGAGAAGTTTCGTGAAATTCTGGATAATATTCTTAACCTAGGGGAGGATGAACTTGTTGAGGGACTAAAGGTAGCATGCAGATTAATATCAGTTTTCATCGTAAAAACGGATATTCATAATTCTTGAAGTTATTCTAATTTCTTTTCTTAAATACAAATTCTGAACTTTTCTTCAGCTTTTTTTGCTAGTTCTATCGTGATTGTTTAGGTTTTATATTCTGTCCCTTATATTTAAAATATATTTAAAATATTTATTTTAGTAAAAGCATTTTTTAGGCGTTCATTGAAGCGATTGTAAACGAGAATGTATCTCTGGTGATATCAAGGCAACTACTTACAGAGGTAGATTTTCATTTAAAGATAGTTTATTGTTTCTGAATTACTATCGTCATTTTGACAGAAAGTTAAGGTTTTTTTTCTACTGTTCTGATAGTGCTTAAATTTTTTTAAACTAAGCCTCTCGGAAGGGAGGGGGGCACACAGCAACTCAATTTGTAATCCCTAACACCCTATTTGAGGGTGTGTGCACTCCTTCCCTCCATGTGGCGTGAACCATGTTAAAGTTAAAGTTTTATCGGGTAGAAGACTGAAGGGGTTTATATTTTCGAGAAATACCTTCTCCCTCTTTTGCTCTGGGAGGAAAAATGATGAAAGTAAGTTTTCTTTGTTTCACCCTTTTTAATATTTTTTTAACCCTAAATTTCATTATTTACTTCCTAAAAACCCTTTATTTTACCCAATTCATTGATTAAAACCATAAAAAGGCTTATGGGCACGGACAATGCCGGGTACATATTTCACTGATGTTCTAGCATTGTAATTTTCTATTTGGCGAAGAAATCTGTTAAAATGACCGTAAAGGAAAAATGAAAGGGTTCATAGGCTGAACGCTTAATACTTCAGCTCTTGATCGCGACCCATGAAAGTTATATTTGATGTTCCTGTCTCGAGAAATTGACTCAAAACGGTGTCAAATTCATACGAAAATTAATATATATACAATTTAGTATAAAAATGGTAGGTTTAAACAGATCATATTCAGCAAATACGCAACCAATCTGAAAAAGAAGATATTCCAGAGAAACCCAATTGTAACTTTGGTTTTCTCCAAATATTATTATATAAATTTATTTTTATTTTTAATAGATATAATTGATAAAATTATTTTTAAGTCCGTTTGACGTCATCAGAACTCCCACCAATGGTATTGCAGTATACTGGTCACGTGATACAGACAGAGACACGTGACCAGTTACTGCAGTTTCATTGGTGGCAGTACTGCTGCATATATATGAATTTTCGTATATATTTGACACAATTTAATATTAATTTCTCGAGATAGGAACATAAGATATATCTTTCATGGGTCGCTATCAAGAGCTAAAGTGATTAGCTTTCAGCCTATACCTCCTTTCATTGTTCTTTTACAGTCCCTTTAAACTTCACAAAATCTATATTTGCATTTTAGATTTGCACGATTCTGGTAAAATTGGAGGATTGTGTATCAAAGGCTGTATCCCACTATACATTAGATATTGTAGCTCCCAGGGTCATCTCATTTGAAGATCAGGTTTGTGTACTGTGTAGCTCCCAGGGTCATCTCATTTGAAGATCAGGTTTGTGTCCTGTTTAGCTCCTAGGTTCATCTCAATTGAAGATGAGGTTTGTGTACTGTGTAGCTCCTAGGGTCATCTTATTTGAAAATCAGGTTTGTGTACTGTGTAGCTCCTAGAGTCATCTCATTTGAAGATCAGGTTTGTCATGTGGACGATGTAGCTCCTAGGGTCATCTCATTTGAAGATCAGGTTTGTCATGTGGACGATGTAGCTCCTAGGGTCATCTCATTTGAAGATCAGGTTTGTCATGTGGACTATGTAGCTCCTAGGGTCATCTCATTTGAAGATCAGGTTTGTCATGTGGACGATGTAGCTCCTAGGGTCATCTCATTTGAAGATCAGGTTTGTCATGTGGACTATGTAGCTCCTAGGGTCATCTCATTTGAAGATCAGGTGGGAGGGGGAGTTTGAGAATGTTCTCAGCAATAATAATGAATTTTTATTGTTATTATGGAAAATAACCTTGATAAACCATCATAACTGGGTCCTTTTATATCGGAAACCCACAATCCCGATCTCTTGATCTAGATATCCAGAGTGGGAGGTTTAGATTTTTTTTGCGGAATCTGCTTTATGTTGATATTGGATATCCTCAATTTTTATGTTATTTCAGTAGTTGAACGAAAACTTTCCTGGCTTCTGCTTGGCTGTTCAAGGGATATTTGTTTAATCTACATCTTTATTTATCAATACAAGAGTTCCCACCTCAGATATCCAAAGCAGAAACTTTAAATTAAATTTGTATCAGATCTTTGTTGACTCTCATTGACTGAAGACGGATGTCTGTGGCTTCTGATTGATATATGTTGTAAGCAGATATAGCTCTCCATGTAGAAGTTGACCAGAAAAGCTACGGATTAGTACATTCTGAAAGAGTTAAAAATGTTCACAATACATAAGTTCCAAACTAAGTTCTTTATTTTTAGCTTTTAATCATGAAAATAAGTTTTCATTTTTATTTATATTTGTAGGTTGGTTCTATCCGTCAGCATCTTGCAGATATATTTGAGAGAGAACAAAACTGGAAACAAGCTGCTCAAACACTGGTAATAATGTAGATAGATATACTTTGAATTTTTATTAAAGGGAGTGTTCGCGAAAAATGAAAGGGGGTATAGGCTTAATGCGATAAAAAAGCGCTTTTGATCGCTACTAATCTTACTTCTATCTATTGCGTCTATAAGGAGAAAATTGTTAAAGACGTCTCATGCCGAATAACGTGGCGTCCATACAAATTGAGAAAATTGGAACATACGACTTAGACCGTAAAAAAATCTATTTAATTTCAAACAAATCATTCAGATATTACAACCTGTAGTCATCGATTATCTTTCGCCACATTTATATATAGTTGATTTTTCATAATATGTTATAATTGTTATGATCTAAGAGTTACTTATAAAAACATTTATTCCTGTTTCGAGGATTTTTGGTAATGAAGACGACATTTTCATATTTTCCAGGAATGTTCGAAAACAAGTTGTAAGCTAATTATTATTTTAAAAAAGAAAATCAAAACTAGTATGAAATATCAAATATATACAAATGTGGCGAAAGATAATCGATGACTAGGTTGTAATATCTGAATGATTTGTTTGAAATTAAATTGATTTTTTACGGTCTAAGTCGTATGTTGCAATTTTTTCAATTTGTATGGACGCCATGTTATTCGGTATGAGAAGTCTTTAACAATTTTCTCCTTATAGACGCAAAAAATAGAAGTAAGATTAGTAGCGATTAAAAGCGCTTTTTTATCGCATTAAGCCTATACCCCCTTTCATTTTTCGCGAACACTCCCTTTAAAGTGTTACTCCATCTTGTAAAATTTAATGATAATAATGTAGATAGATATATTTTGAATTTGTATTAAAGTGTTACTCTATCTTGTAAAATTTAATGATAATAACGTAGAAAGATATACTTTGAATTTTTATTAAAGGGAGTGTTCACGAAAAATGAAAGGGGGTATAGGCTTAATGCGATAAAAAAGCGCTTTTGATCGCTTCTAATCCATACTTTTTTAATTTTGATGCGGATCCGGATTCGGATTCTGGGTCCGCTCTGTGAAAAAATGGATCCGGATCTAAATCCGGATCCAGGTTATTTCTTTAAAATATCCAGGAAACCAAAATCTTGCGGATCCAACGGATCCGGATCCTATTCACTGATTAAAGCGCAGATGAGTTATTGAAAATCTGATCTGATTGGTCATTGGATTGCATTCTATAATTGATCTGTCACTTAATTGATTCTTCATCTTTTGTATTTTGATTTTTTGATTCAATTGTTAAGTTGATTTGGTAATTTATTGATTAATAGATTTTATTGGTTAATTGATTTTTTTTAAGTTATTTATTGCTTTAATGATTGATTCATTGATTTATTTCAATATGTTTTAAGCCGATAGATATGTTGATTGATAAATTGGTCGAGTTATTGATGATTGATTTATCTGGTGTAGGTTGGAATCCCCCTTGAGACTGGTCAGAAACAGTACAGTGTAGATTATAAACTGGAGACATACCTCAAGATATCCAGGTTTATCAGTTTAAAGGGACTATATTAGAAATATCACGTAACCCTCCATTTATTGTGTGGCATGTCCTCTATTCTTAACGATTAAACCTCTTTTTAAATGAGAGATATCTAGATAGTGTTTTTTTATAGTTTCCTTTGAAGTGGCTTAAGTCTATGAAGCGTAAATCCGCAATTAAATTTTTAAAAAGAAACAAATATAAAATAAGGTTATTTCATTCGTAATTGAGCACAAAAGGATGTGAATCAGAAATGACACTCAATAAATTAAGGGTCACGTTAAATCTGCAGTTTCTTTTATTCGCATGTTCCGTGAATATTTTTTGACAAAGAGAAAAACTATAGAAGAATTCTTTTATAACAGCGAGTTTCAGTCATAAACCTTTGATGGGCCGATCTACAGGATAATCCTGAACTTAGCCGTAACTACACCCAGAAGAAATTCTGCGCTTTTACATAAAAAAAAATCTAATATTTACATATTGTTCAGGTTGTATTTAGAGGATGAGGATCATGTCCAAGGAGAGATTTTTATAAACAGAGCAGCATCTCTTCAAAACCAAACTAAAAACGAAGAACTTCTCATTGTTTATAAGGTAGGATAGTTAGTAGATTAGAGATATTTATAAACAGAGCAGCATCTCTCCAAAACCAAACTAAAAACGAAGAACTTCTCATTGTTTATAAGGTAGGATAGTTAGTAGATTAGAGATATTTATAAACAGAGCAGCATCTCTTCAAAACCAAACTAAAAACGAAGAACTTTTCATTGTTTACAAGGTAGGATAGTTAGTAGATTATAGATATTTATAAACAGAGCAGCATCTCTCCAAAACCAAACTAAAAACGAAGAACTTTTCATTGTTTAGAAGGTAGGATAGTTAGTAGATTAGAGATATTTATAAACAGAGCAGCATCTCTTCAAAACCAAACTAAAAGCAAAGAACTTCTCATTGAAATTAAGTATGAAAGACGAGTACTTACGTATAATATTTATGACTATAGTCTCTTAGTTTAAAGTTCGAAGGGTCTTGTTCTAAAATCGTCCTTTTCCTAGGTGTGTCAAGGACGAGTTCTGGACTATAAAAGGAAGTTTATTGAAGCTGCTTCAAGATATAACGAACTATCCTATAAAACTGCAATCCATGACAGGTATCATTACTTCAAGATATAACGAACTATCCTATAAAACTGCAATACATGACAGGTATATAGGCTTACGGCGAAAAATAAGCGCTTTTGATCGCTACTAATATTACTTCTTTCTGTTGCGTCTATAAGGAGACAATTTTTAAAAAACGACTCATGCTGAAGAACTTAGCGTCAAATTCAGAAAATTGCAACATTCAGCTCGGATCGTAAAATAATCGATTTAATTCCAAACTGATCGTTCAAATGTTACAAACAATAGTTGATATTTCATAATGTTTTTGGTTTTGTTTCTATATATAATATATTTCGCTGTCGCTGGATTTTAGAACATTCCTGGAAAATATGAAACGGGAATAAATGTTTTCAAAAGTAACTATCAGATCATAAAAAAATATTATGAATTATAAACTTTATACGAATGCGTCGAAAAATTATCGATTATTAGTAATTTTTCGCGAACACTCCCTTTAACAACGGCAAACATTTTCGGTGGCCTTTGTATTAGTTTTCTCGCACATTTGTCATTTGTGAGCAATTCATATTACACATAGCCATCGTTAGTTATTTCAATGATAAGAATTGAACAATCCATAATCAAACGTTATTCTCAAAAAAGTTTCATTTTAGTATTATCATTATATAGATGGGGCAAGAAAATTTCCGGGAAAGTGAATCTTGAAAAGTCAAATATCTGAGTTCCGGAATTTGCCAAAATTTTGACGAGTTCCTATTTGAGTGTTGATTGCGGCCCTCTGTTTAGGCCCCCCCCCCCCTGCGGTACCCCTATGGTAGCGGACGGCAAATTAGCAAACTTATTTTTAAAGATAATGTAAAACTAAAGGTCGAAAACACAATTTTTTACGGAATTTGAATTAAATAATGAACTCTTGCGACATTCAACAATTAATTAAGTAAAGAATGTTACAGATTTTGAAAACTCTTATTAATTAAGTAAAGAATGTTACAGATTTTGAAAACTCTCTCTTATTAATTTTCAAACAAAGGCAATTATTTTGTAAATGAATTATATGAATTTGAGAATGATGAAATATTTCCTGGAATTTATGAATCATATTTAGTCGAACACTACACTTGGACATGGATCCATTAAAATTCTACTATATCTTATCATTTAACGATATTATTCAAATTACAAATTCTGCTTTATTTACAGTTTGTATGATTTATGTGTGAAAAATAGATTGCTGATTTTAGTGAGCGTATGACGGCTTTGAGAAATGCTGCTATTTGTACTATTCTCGCCGCTGCAGGTAAGCCCCTCCCCTCCCCCACCTCTTATCCTCGTTCACTCTATTCACTTAGCTTCTTGTCTAGATTACTCCCTTCCTTCTTTTCCTGCTGTTAATTCTCTTTCCATTTTCCTGTCTTCCTTATCCACTTCCTTTTTTTCCCCAAGATTTCTTAGTTTCCCATTTTTAAGACCCCATTTCCACCTCTTAAAATGACTTGTATGACTAACACGGGGCCTCTTTTTCTTACCCGTCCTGATCCCTTTAATTTTGATGCGGATCCGGATTCGGATTCTGGGTCCGCTCTGTGAAAAAATGGATCCGGATCTAAATCCGGATCCAGGTTATTTCTTTCATAATCCCTATATCTATATCTTTGCAACCTGATGTTGTACTCATTTGATATCAAAATTTGATTATTTAATAATTCATAGTTTTTAAAATATCTCTGGTCTAAGATAAATAAATGTATTAGATAATCAGAGTTTGAGACAAAGACTCGATTTCCTTCACCACAGTATAAAATAATCATTTCACATGAAATATTACGGCTCCTCTGCGTCTGCCCATCTCTCTTTCTCATACTTTCCATTTCTTGTCTGATATTATATATTTATTATGAAACCAAACTTATTGTTTAGGACAGCAGAGAAGCCGTATGCTGGCAACACTATACAAGGTATTTACTAGTCAGTCAACCAATATAACTTTATATATAAAGTAATAATATCTTTTGTCTGTTTTTGTGGTTGTCCGATAATAATGTCCCAAACTCGGTAGAACCACGGAAATGTTCTTAGCTTGGCCTGAAAATTGTTAACTGGGTGGGTAGGGTTTAGTTTTTCGGCACATGATATATTAACATTAGACTAGTTTTTTTAAAACAGTTAAATTAATTTACCTTTTGTTGTTGTTTGTGAACATTTTTAAAACTGCTGGGGCCTATATTTGTAATAAATATTGGGTATTACGATATTCAGTAAATCTGTAGAACGTTGAAAAATGAACATTATTAATGATCGATGTTTGTACGTAAATCCTGTTTATTCATTTGAACTGCGTTCTAAATGAATACGTAGCATGGTTAGCTTAATCATGTGATATATATGCCGTTATAACTGTGCTGTAATACGTAACATGATTTGCCTTGATTATGTGTTATAGATAACTATTTAGGAATTGTAATAACGTCTATTAATTTAACTTGTAACCTATAAACCTTAAATACAAATTAGGTAGAATCAGAACACCACTTTGATTACAGTGTAGAGTAATTGTACCTCGTTGAAATATTCGTGTTGAGATCCTACCTCAGTATAGGGTAGAGATCGGTTAAGGGTTGATAGATAGCCACTGTTGTGTGACATTTAGAGACAGAGTAATAGCTTGTTTGATAGATATGTTTGTGTTCCTGTGTGGTATTTAAAGCCTGAGTAATATAATAGCTCGTTTGATAGCTACGCTTGTGTCCTTGTGTGGCCCTTAGACATAGAGAATAGAATATATATATAGAGAGGAATTTACTAGAAAGAAGTGTAAAACGGCCATTTTGTTGTACTGTTTCCATACTGCAGGTGTACTTCACATATTTGTGCTATATAACCTGTTGGGCCCTGGAATATAATTTTATTGAAAATCTAAAATTATTGTTAAAAGAAACCCAAATTATGAAATAGGCTGGTTTCATAATTGACCAATGATCATTTCACATAGACTCTATGCCTTCCACTTTACAAACGATGATTTTCCGTTATAATTATAAATCAAATGATGTTTTTATTCACCTAATTCATTATAAAGTTTATTTAACAGTTTAAAAAATTCGAAATTGAAATGAATAGTCTAGGGAACATACTGTATTTATGTACTCTACTGCATATAATTTGTGAACATTTACATGATTTGTACACTTTGAACTCCCTTTCAGGCTGAAAGGGACTGAAAAAATTCATACCGAGAGATTCTTTACATTCCTCTCTATATATTCTATTCTCTATGCCCTTAGAGCCTGAGAAATAGCTTGTTTGATAGCTACGCTTGTGTCCCTGTGTGGCATTTTAAACCTGAATAATAGCTTGTTTGATAGCTACCGTTGTGTCCCTGTGTGACATTTAGTTCCTGAGAAATAGCTTGTTTGATAGCTACTGAGATCGCGCCCAGTGATAGTGGCGTTGATAGTTAACGAGATTGCAGTCTAATGGATTGTATCCTGTTTGACTTTTATAGCGGACGGGTTGTACCTGGACTGATACAGTTGTGGGACGAAGTTTAAGAGTACGGCATTTACTACAAGTGGCTGGTAGCAGCGGCGTGAATCAATGAACCCTAGTCAAATGCCAAGATCTTGAAAGAAGAGAATACAGTGATTACCCGGTGGAAAGGTTAACAAAAGGAACTGTGTCAGAAGGAAACCACAGTAGGTTAAGATTGCTACCAGATTACACAATGAAAAGAGTAACAGGAAACCGTTTTAATTGATAGAAGGATCAAACTACCGAATATGAAGGAAACCTGAACGAGGGGAGACATTCAACACGAAGAATGGGAAGTAGAGAAGAAAAGTTTGGAACGAGAAAGATATTTGGAACTGTAAAAGCAGAAAGTAGAAAAAGCGGAGATAAACGAAAGACAATTTGAAGTTCAGGTTGATAGGATACAAGTGCTTTTGATAGCGGACGGGTTGTACCTAGACTGATACAGTTTTGGGACGAAGTTTTAAGAGTACGGCATTTATTACATATTTTTAGTCAGAGTTAATATTTTGCAAATGTAAAAATCTTTATAAAGGAAGGGGAGGATGCACAACACGTATAACTCTCCGGAAATTTAAAACAGTGTTTAAACTGAGAATTGTCTTAGAACGCTGATTTTTTGCATGTGAACTCAAAATTATGTATTTTAACTGCAAAATTCAGTTTAGTGCTCACCCCCCTTTTGTCTTCTCAGCTTACGTATATAGGGTACTTAACAATATCTTTGAGTGTAATTCGCGGAATTTTTTCTGCTGAACTGTACTGTACTGTACTGCACTGTACTGTAGCGCAGTTAAATCTAATTTACTGCAGGATGAGAGGGTACAACAGTTGTCTTGTTTCAATATTCTGGAGAAGATGTACCTGGACCGACTTATCAAAAGGTAAAATTGAACTGTTGATTTCGAAAACTGTAAATAATTATTGTCTGGACTAAAATACTTTTCTGAGTAAATTTTTCTCTATTTGGTCTTTTTGGAGGATATTTTGTACAATATAATAAAATGAACAGTGCTAAGTAAACCAAAATGTGCACAGTTGCACACTCAAGCACTAATGTTTTTTTTCCGTTCTTTTAACAGTTTTAGATAAACAGGGGGAAGAACAGGGAGTTTATAGGGACTTTATGTGTAATTTCAATTGACATTCCATTTGTAGAGTGGCATATCCGATTTACAACAATACCCTTTAAACCTTTGTCGAATCAAGGATTTCTTAGATATTCTTATTTATATAGCGGGAAATTAAATGCAAAGTAACTGCGCGAGTGTACAATGTACATTGAACAGTGTTTACTGCTACCTTGAGTCCCTTGAGTCTCCTCTCTCAGCAGTGGCACTTAATCCTCACCTATACTAAGGGTGTCTACCTCATCATTGTCAGGACAATGGTTTAAAGGATACCGTTGTGAATCGACATGCCTCTATATACAGAAGGTCGCTTAAAATTACGCTTACAGTCCCTTTAAGAGAATTCGAAAAATTCAAATCAACAGAAACCACTACCATTCCGATAAAATATATCAATCAGCGTTATATATCAGCAACAGTTATAACAAACTTTTTTTTTTAGAACTGAGTTGGTTGAGTTTGATGCAATGCTTCAGACTCATCAGAAAGCAACGATGTCTGATGGTTCAACTATACTTGAGCATGCTGTTATAGAACATAATCTACTTGCAGCATCTAAACTTTACAATAACATCACATTCAGCGGTCTAGGAGCTCTTCTAGAGATCCCACCGGAGAAGGTATTAATATTTCATTTTTTTGGCTGCACACCTAATTAGTGATCAAAATTCCAAAAATATAATCAAAATGAATTTTAATTTACAACTTTTTTCATAAAAATGTTATCAGAATTGAGAATTATTTAAACTAGCTTGTGAACTCGACTTTGCCCGTAAAACTAAGTTCATAAAATTGGTAGATTTATTCCTATGAAAGCTAGTTTTTTTTTTCAAATTTGCAAGTCCAGACATCTTTTTATTTTGTCTCATATTGGTTTTATAATTAACGAATTTCTGTGAAATAAACGTTTCTGAATTCAGTGTTTGAATCGGAGCTTTTGATATCCTTATCGATATATTTAAAAGATTTTTTAGAATTTTTGATTATTTAAAGTTTAAATATTATACCCCGCAGACACCCGAAATTTTAAAGGGGAAAAGTGAAAAATCGACTAACTAAAATATATATATTCTGCAGGCTGAGAGGATTGCAAGTAAAATGATCACTGAGGAGAGACTGGTGGGACACATTGATCAGATAGATTCTACCCTGCACTTCGAAACCAGGGAGATACTTGAGTCCTGGGACAAACAGATTCAATCATTGTGTTTCCAGGTAGACATTTTAGTTAAGGCAATACCTGGCTTAGTGAGTAGCGTTACTAGGCCCGGAACTATGGGCGGGGTTCAATCTAGCAATGAATATCTTGATTCCTCCAGGTACTAAACCATTCCGACTGACGGTATTAAGTTATATCGTTCTTGGAGGTTATTACGTTGAATGACATAACTTGCAAACCTGCCAATATCCAAATAGACGAGGGTGACTTAATAATTGAGTAGGTTCCATGAAGTATGCCAAAAGAGCTTCACACCCAATTTCCATGTTTAGTTACGCTTTGTGCCTCTTTTTCTAAACTTTTTCTTTGATTTGCGTGTGAGCAGCAAACTGTAACAAAAACATATTGCTGATCTTAGTTTTTAGGCGGATTTCTAAAATATTTGAAAATTGATTTTTATTAAAGAAACATGATACCTCCTGTGGAAAAATGATTTTCAAATGGGGGGAAGTATTGTTTTCCCTGGCAAATTTACTCGGTCATTTTTGAAATTGACGGAAAGCCCTGATCTTCAGATTTTATATGTTATAGTAAATGGTTATATGAGGGGGGGGGATGTCTAAAACAGAAAAAAAGACTGCCTCCCATAGTTTTGTGAAAATTATTCCTCCTGTTCTATGCCTTTCTGTTTAGGTGAACAATGTGCTGGATAAGATTGGAGCTGTGGAACCGGAGTGGGTCGATAAAACTTTAGAATCTCTGATGGTCTCATAAAAACAACTCCAATCATCCTGTTTGAGAACCAGAATCCTTCATTGAAACTAAACCATCAGCCTGTGGCAAAATGCGGGAAAACTTGCCTTAAATTCGATGTATTTGAAAATCCGTGAAATGAATGTTAAAATATTTCAGAAAGATGAGTTCTGACCTAGAAACCTCCTTCAGGGAGAAAACTAAAACTGAAAATGTTTTCCTCTTCGTCCCGAATATTATCGGGTTAGTAGAAATAAAAATTGTTTGTACTATTAACTTAAAGGGTCTGTAAGCGTAAAGTCAAGTGACCCTCCTTGCAAAGAAGGCAAAGTTCGATTTACAACGAAACTCTTGAGGACTAAAAGCTTTGTCTGATCTAACATGAATCCATTATTTGTGTTTATAACTTTGAAAACTGATAATTTACAATTGTTGATTCTCAACAAAATTGTACCTTTGTGACTCGGGTCTATCCATCTTTACATGGAAGGGTCCCTTGAAATCACGCTTACAGTTCTTTCAAGAAATTTTTATATTAACATTTATTTATGTTTTTTTTTTATTTGATGTCGGGATTTAGATTAAAAAGGGGAGGGAAATGTTTGTTTTGATATTGATAAAATAACAAGGAGAGGATAAATCTGATTTAAAAAAGAATCCGTGTTAAGGTATGCCCGTATATTCCTTGCTTTGGTTTCCTTCTGGTATATGCCAACTAGCTGGTTCACCGCAGCATTGTAAGTATATTTTTGTATTTTATGTAAAGGGGGTGAATATGATTTTATAGGAGTAAAAGATTTTTTTTCAGGGGATTAAGGAAAATATGAAATTTTATTGTTTTAAGTTTTAACTGCATTTTTGATACAGTGCCTTTTGAAGAAGAAAATTTCCCTCAAAGTCAAGTACACATAAAAACTTCCATAACAATTTTGGCGGAGGGGGGGACGGATTATGATTTCCAAGAGAAAAACTGGGTTACACAGTACCCACAAAGGATGAGACTTCAAGAGACGACTTTACGTTATTGTTTTATCTGGTTCCTTTATATCAACGATTCCTTTGTAACTTAAAACTTCTTTCTTTCTTTGTCAAATCATTAAATAACCCATTTAAAGACTACACTCAAGGCAGAAGACTTAGTTTAAACTTGGAATCGTCATATTTGAAGAGTTTCAAGTCGTCTTTATAGTCTCTTTCTTTGTGAGTAACCCTTTATGAACCTCCATTCACTTCCATCTTAAAGCTATTTTTAAATTGATATTTTATAATGAAAAACCTACCAGTAGGTTTCTAAAAATTCAGCCGTATTGTATTATAGCTGGCGATCTGGCAGAATGTCGGGTGTCCCATTGTGATATGTCTAAGTTAAAAAATATCAAAAACACGATGAAAAGAGCAACTTTGATCAAATGCAATTTTCTTTTACATTCAGGAACCTATGACAAAGCTAGAAGTCCATATCTCTTTCTTGATTTAGTAAATTCATCTGGGGCATTCTAGGTGGCTAGTAGGAAGTCCCTAAAACTCTTATATGTTGATTGATTGATTGATTTATTGTGTTAAAGCTGCTACATTTTGTCTGGACTCCTGGATGCTCTAGACGGGCATGCTGCTCGTCTTCTCAACCAATGCTCGAAATTCGGCGGCATGCTTGACATGCTTACTGACAGGTATATTGAGAGGAGAGATGGATTTTATCATTAAGATTAAAAGATGAAATGGTAAGGGCCGGTAGCGAAAGCTAGATCATCAACTGAATCAGAAGATGGAGTAAAGTTATCGAAATATAAAGAGAATTTGAAGGATTTTAGAGAATGGGGAGTCGAGAGATTGAGAGGGATCTAGAGAAAGATCGAGATTAGAGAATAAAGTATTTGAGATAATAAGGGTGATTTGGGAGAAAGTGGGATTTGGGAGAGTTAGGGATTTGGGAGAATGGGGGATTTGGGAGGATGGGGATTTGGGAGGATGGGGATTTGGGAGAACAGGGATTTGGAAGAACAGGGATTTGGGAGAACAGGGGATTTGGGAGAACAGGGGATTTGGGAGAACAGGGGATTTGGGAGAACAGGGGATTTGGGAGATTGAGAGATTTGAAAGATTGGAGGTTTTAAATAAGAGAATGAGAGGTTGGTAGAGAACGGGTTTAAGATAGTAAAGGGTTAGAAAAAATGAGTGAGAATGTAAAAAAAAGCTTATGATACACTCCCTTATGATACACTCCCTTTAGGTGTTAACCATTCTAAAATGTTTAAGATTAGAGAATGAAAGAAGGGTAAATTGATGGAATACGAGATGAAAAAAAAATGAAAGAAAAAATGAACTATAAAATAAATATTATTGATTTACTCTCCTAGATGTGCTACAATGTGTCTGCTGACCACCCTGTCCGTATTCTATCCGTCGTGCATGTTCCTGTTCCAGCTGAGCATGGTTATAGATATCTCCTGCCACTGGATCCATCTTCACACCAGCCTGCTAGAGGGCAAGGGAAGCCACAAGTAGGTTTTGCAAAAAACCGTAGTTATGAAACAGATTAGTAGTCTCTAACTCTAATTTTCTCAGGGGTGTATATTCTTACTGTTAAATATAGTTATTGAGTTAATTTTTCCTCCTAGGGGGCAAAATAAACATAACACCCCCTCCCCAAGATTAAATCCTGGATACGCCACATATTCAGTGATTTAGTGATTTAAATCATTGGGGTGAGAGTGGGAGGGAACCCTCGGATGCCACTAGCCTCCTAGATTTGCTAGGGAGACCGAGCCTCCGCCATGCAGTAAGAGCCTCCGCTACTCAGAATAGTTTCCTAAAGTTTTCAATTGAGGCTGAATTTAAAATTTCTTGAATTTTTTCCCTTTTTTGATTTTCATAGGTATTTTGTGGAAGAGAATTCAATCTAAGTTAAACATTTTTTCATCTTTTGATTTTTAAGAAAATAGTTGGGAAGAAGTTTCAATCAAAATTAAATGCTGTTCCCTTTTTTGCTAGTTTTGGATACGTAAGAAGACACACTATACAGTACACCCATGAATTTTTGAATTTTCTCATCCCTATATCTTTGCTTTCGTAGGGTGTAAATCTTATAAATATAATATTTCGTCAAGCAGAGTTTAACGTTTAAAAGGTCTACAACATCAGGTTGTAAATATATAAGGATTAGGAAATTAGGATACCCTTCAATTTTTATTTTTATTTGAGTAACAATGAGGTAGATGTCGTCCTTTTTGCTATTTTGAAAAGAGATTAATTCGATCAATTTCCTTCCTTATCTTTTGCTTCAAAAATTTGCATATCACTTTAAAAGAGAAACCGCAATTGAAAGCGGTCAATTTTTAAAAAGTAGATTTTTTAATGTTGACTTTGTGAATTGGTCATTTTATTGATCATGATAATTGTACTGTACTGTATACACTATACAGGTTCATGGACCCGACCGGTAACAAGTTCATGTACATGTACTACACTGACAGAAAAGTACTGTTCGCTATGTGTGCAGGTAGGAATATTGTATAATGTACATTGTTCTTAATTGATTAGTTTTTATTATTATAGGTTGAGTATTTTTATATTAAATTGTTCTTAATTTATTAGTTCTTATTATTATAGGTTGAGGATTTTTTTAATATTAAATTGTTCTTAATTGATTAGTTCTTATTATTATAGGTTGAGTAATTATTTTATTAAATTGTTCTTAATTGTTTAGTTCTTATTATTATAGGTTGAGTAATTATTTTATTAAATTGTTCTTAATTGATTAGTTCTTATTATTATATGTTGAGGATTTTATTATTAAATTGTTCTTAATTGTTTAGTTCTTATTATTATATGTTGAGGATTTTTTATTAAATTGTTCTCAATTAATTATTTCTTAATATTATATGTTGAGTTTTTTTTATTACATCTTTTAAAGCTACTCCCGCTTATTTTAGAAATACATATTTCTATGTCTACTGAAAATTGATAAATAGTGTGCAGTAAATATTATTTTATACATAATCGGCAAGTTTGAATCTTACTTTACATTTTTTGCGTCCCAAATTCTTACGGTTTTTGGATGGGACAGTGGAATATCTGTTCTTCATTTTTGTACAATCTGAACAATAATTTATCAGGTAATGAGATGTTTTACGCCACCCTCTACCTCCTGCACTTCAGCGCTGGGTTCTGGTTCTATCTACTCGCTCTGCTCGCAATCATCTCGTTTCCTGTAGCAGTTGCCAAGTCGGGGATAGCTCTCCTCCAGGTAGAGAAGAATTTTGTACTTAAACAATACCTTGACTTTAAAGTAAACAAGACACTGTACTTCAAATTTTAAGTTTACTGCAACATAAAACAGGAAAAACATGATTTGGGTAGAAATCAAGACAACTGTAATGTAAGGTTACCATTAAACCATTAAACTGTACTGAATGATCAATACACTGTATTTTAAACCAAGCAAGGAACTGTACTGTAAAGTACGCAAGAAACTGTAACGTAGGACAATCAAATCTGTACTGTATAGTAAACGAAAACGATAACTTAAACTGTTAAGTAAAGAGTAAACTGTACAGCAAAGCAAAGTAAATAAAACAATTACTGAAAAGTAAACAATGTTTGTTGTTAGTTAACAAAAAAAATTGTTCTGCAAAGTAAAAAATCAAGCGTAAAATAAACAATGAATTGCATTACAAAAGAAACAAGTAATTCTACGGTAAAGTAAACATAAACTTTTAGTGTACAGCAAAGTAAACATTAAATTAAACTGTACTGTAAAGTTAACAAGAAACTGTACTATAATAACAGTACAGCGCTAGAAAACAACACAATTAACTTTCGATTGAACGAGAAACTGTACGGAAACGTAAGAAATAAAATTTAAGTAAACTGCAAAGTAAATAATAAAGTAAATGATAGACTGTACTGCAAAGAAAACAAATAACTACTGTAAAGTAAACAAGAAACTGTACAACAAAATAAACAATGAAATGTAATGCAGGGCTACCTGGCTTGCATGAACCTTGTTGCGGTGGACACTAAGGAGAGAGAAGATAAAAAGAAGGAGGAGAAGAAGGAGTAAAGATGAGGGAAGAAGAGAGAAGAAAATTTTGACTACTATCTTCTAAGATATCTCTGCTAAATTAGACTAGTCAATAACTTGATTTTGTTGTGGAGGTGTAAAGCACAATGGGTTATCATTTGTGTTATTTTCTTTTCATTTTTCCTTATTAATCGGAACTTTTTTAAATCCAAAGTTTGAAAATATGTTTGATTATTTTTCTGTTTATTCCAACTTTAATAAGTAATTAAGTTTTTGTTCCAAGTGATCGTCCTAATTATGCTACACCTTTGCTTTATTTACTTAACTAGTCACTCTCGATCATTATAGATTATTGTCATTATTTTGATCATTATTAACTGTTGTTCATGTACTGTATATTGTAGATTTTATGCTAAGTATTTAACCCCTGCTGATAGAAAGGATCATTTGTTCATAATTTTGACAGAAGCTTTTTAATTTATAGACAAATCAATCAAACAAAATATTCTATTCTTGTTTGTTATTTCAAACGGTCATGATTGAAAATTGTTTTAATAGTTCTTGTTTGCATTATTTCAATCTGGGCATTAGACACATTGATTTGTGTTGTAATTTGTAATTATAATATCCCATAGTTGGAAATTAATGTTAAATTTATTTTATATTATAAGATATTGGTACGGGCATAACGTGTACCCCTCCCCACCCCCCCAAAAAAATGATAAAATACAATAGAATTCTTCTTATGCTTATTGATTAATTATAACCCCTACCTCATGTGTTAAACAGTATTAAAAATCTATTTTTTAAGTATTGTGTTTTGTGCTTAATTTTTTAAAAACAAGCAATAGTTCGTTAAATCTTACCGATTTTTTGGATTAGACTTTATTAAAAAAGCACCATTTTTGTTAACCGCCCTCTATTGTTTCATGTTCTCAATGTACTATTTTTTTCAGACTAAAAATGATTTTGTCTAAAGTGGATTTGAGGTTAGAATTTTGTTTGAGGTAATCTAAGGAAGTAAGGAAACTTATTATTATTTTGAAACACTGGGAGGATTTGGAAAGATTGGGAGGATTAGGATGATTTAGAAAAAATTTGATGATTGGGGATCATTTAGAGGATCTGGGGACATTGTGAGGGTTTTGAGAGGATTTGAAGGATTTGGTGAGATTAGGAGGATTTGGTGAGATTGGGAGAATTTTTGGGAATTGGGAGGATTTGGGAAGATAGTGAGGATTTGGGAAGAAAGTGAGGATTTGGTGATATTGGGACAATTTGTTGAGAGGGGGAGGCTTTGGTGAGATAGGGATGATTTGGTGGGTTGGGAGGATTTGGGAAGATAGCGAGGATTTGGGAAGAATGTAAAGATTTGGGAAGATAGTGAAGATTCGGGAAGATAGAGAGGATTCGAGAAGATAGGGAGGTTTCGGGAAGATAGGTAGGATTTGGGAAGATTGGGAGGATTCGGGAAGATAGGCCGGGAGGAGGTAGGAAGATAGGCCGAGAGGATTTAGGAAGATAGTCTGAGAGGATATAGGAAGATAGTGAGAATTTGGAGAATTTGGGAAGATCTGAAGGATTTAGGAAGATATTAAGAATTTAGAAAGATATGAAAGATTTAGGAAGATATGAAGGATTAACTTTAAAGCAATAATCAGAACAGCTTCTCAGTTTTCATATTTATTAATACAAATTGTTTCAGATCTCTCGATCCTCATCTGTCAATAAACATGGGTTATCTCATGAAGGATATGAAGGATTAGATATGATGTAAGAAGGAAGATATGTAGGATTTGGGAATATATGAAGTATCAAGAATGATATGAAGGTTTAGGAAGATTTGAAGGATTTAAGAAGATTTAGGAAGGATTTAGGAATAAATCAAGAATTTAGGAATAAATCAAGGATTTAGGAAGAATTCAAGGGTTTTAGGAAGATGTCAAGGATTTAGGAAGATATCAAGGATTTGTGAAGATATCAAGGATTTAGGAAGGTATCAAGGATTTAGGTAGATATCAAGGATTTAGGAAGATATCAAGGATTTAGGAATATATCAAGGATTTAGGAATATATCAAGGATTTAGGAATATATCTGGGATTTAGGAATATATGAAAGATATGGGAAGAAATCAAGGATTTAGGAAGAAATCAAGGATTTAGTAAGATGTCAAGGATTTAGGAAGATGTCAAGGATCTAGGAAGATGTCAAGTGGATTTAGGCAGATATCAAGGATTTAGGAATATATCATGGATTTAGGAAGATATCAAGGATTTAGGAAGATAACAAGGAATTAGGAAGATATCAAGGAATTAGGAAGATATCAAGGATTTAGGAAGATATCAAGGATTTAGGAATATATCTAGGATTTAGGAAGATATCACGGATTTAGTAAAATATAAAAGATGTGGGGAGAAAGGGAGGGGCAAAGCATAAATAAATAGGTAAAACTATGAAAAAATTCAAATAAACTGTTGGTGGGTTTAGGGATGTAAGAGAAACTAGAAATTCTATTGAATAATATGAATATACAATATACATATATCAGGCGTCTTGTGTATGGGTTGTATTACTGAACACATGAGTGCAATTATACAATATAATGTATAGGGGAGGAGACGAAGGGGGGGGGGGTAAATGGGGAGGAAGTTTTATGGGGGGAGGGTTGTAAATGGGAGTTTCTAGATTTATATCGCTGCAGATCCAGTATTTGAAAAATATGGATATACATAACACACATATTACTCTCACAATATGTATTTTAAACTTTAAGTGATATAAATAGAGTAACAGTGACTTAAATAAAAGGTTTAAAATCGTTTATTAATTTTACGTATTCATGGTTAAAAAAAGTCATCTTTATTTTCATTCTTATCTTTCATTCTTCTTGACAGATAACAGGGGTTGATATTACCTTTAAACCTGTGTTTATCTAAGTTTTATATTACGCAGAAGTGAAAGAAACGTAGATTTTTTTTATCAAAACTGTTTTGCGTAAAAGTTCTTTTTGAGAAAGCAGAGAAAGCGGTCTTAGCAGACATAGTAAACTTACAGTCATTCCACTCATAGTTGGTCTTTCTTCTAGATATATTCATTCCAGTCATAGTTGGTCTTTCTTCTAGATTTATTCATTCCAGTCATAGTTGGTCTTTCTTCTAGATGTATTCGTTCCAGTCATAGTTGGTCTTCTAGATATATTCATTCCAGTCATAGTTGGTCTTTCTTCTAGATATATTCATTCCACTCATAGTTGGTCTTTCTTCTAGATATATTCATTCCAGTCATAGTTGGTCTTTCTTCTAGATTTATTCATTCCAATCATAGTTGGTCTTTCTTCTAGATATATTCATTCCAGTCATAGTTGGTCTTTCTTCTAGATGTATTCATTCCAGTCATAGTTGGTCTTCTAGATATATTCATTCCAGTCATAGTTGGTTTTCTAGATATATTCATTCCAGTCATAGTTGGTTTTCTAGAAATATTCATTCCAGTCATAGTTGGTCTTCTATATAATTTGATTAATTATTGATATTAGAACAACATTTAGGAAAAATTATTTTTAAGCAAGTAAAAATTGCCAACCGAAAACTAGTTTTTTAAATTAATGGTAAAAAAAATCATCAATTCATGCGAAAAACGGTGTTAAAATATTATTTAAAATACTGAAGAAATTTGGAAAATATAAAATCTGTAAAATTTTGTACAAGGGGAGCGAAGCATCCTGGTGGCCTAGTTTTATTTGATTTTGTGAAATAAACTGATCGGGATTTTTTGATAAAACAGATTTTAATTTCTAACAAGAATATTAAGTAGAAGGATAGGAGTAGATCACATGAATTAATTCAAATGTCAAAAATGATTAAGTGTGTTAAGAAGGGATGAATATGTTTAAAAATTATTTTCCCCAATTTTTGTGTTACATATTTTGTAACTCATAAGTTTTTTTTCTTTTCAATAGGGTAGGGATATGGGGTAGGGGGAGTGTGGGGGGGGGGCAGCATCTCTGAATTATAGAATTAAGGGATCAGTTCATTCAAGTACACATTTATGTGATAAAATTAAAAATAATTTTTTATAAATAAAGCTATTTATATTTCTCTGTCTTATATATATATAAAACAACATGTTTCTTTTCCCAATAAAAGAAACTGATAATATTGTAATCATACGGTATGCCTATAGTCTGTCTATTGTTAAAGTGGAAAGGTGATTTTTTTTTCTGAATATACATCATGATCTTATAATTATTTTTATTTTATGTCTATTTCCTCTTTTTAACAAAAACTTATTCGTGGTTTTTTTTTTCTTTAGAAAATATTTGTAGAATTTTTTTAAGCACGTTTTAAAATGCACTCTTTTTGTTGCAGTCCAGCCCGATTATATCCTGTGTCTCGACATAAATAATGATAAAGGATTGTTATCAAGATTTTGTATATTTGCTGGGTTCTCTAGTGAATCATCTTTGATAGGCATTTAACTACTTCCGTTTTCTTTCATTCAATTACTTCCGTGTTCCTTCATTCAATAGTTATCAGTATTTTTGCTATGGGGTAGGAACATGGAGTAATAAAACGAAGAGGTGAAGCCTAGCTCAGATGTACACAACCGACCTGTCTATTAATTAATTAATTGGCAGGTCGGTTGTATACATCACGATATGTTTACGTATCTAACGTTGTATAGAGCGATCGTATTTCTAAGGAACCTAATAAATTAGACAATTTTTTTCTTTTTTCAGATTTGTTTAAACTGCACCAAGTAGTACTTAAATATAAAATGCGGGGTCTACCCCTGTACAGTTTAATGTACCTGCTCGGGGTCCCTGCAGGGTCCCTAAGGGTCCACTCACCCCAGGAGCAGAATATTGTGAATATATACGGTGATAATAATGATAAAGACTTAGATACTGTCAGATATAAACGAGATACGACTGAAAACACAATTACTGAATCAGAAGGGTAAGAATAATTTCATGCAGCCTTAATGCCTAATAATTACAAATAATCTTTTTAATAAAGAATTTTCAAAAAACAGAACTTTTCTCAATTTAGGTTATTTCTTATAGTTAAACAAACCCTTTATAATCAATCTAGATAACTAAGCAATTTTTTTGAGTAATAAAGAAATAGTTGAACCATCCCTTGAATTAGTAAACAAATAAATGAGTAATCTACTTATAATAGAGCTGAACAATTTCTTTCATGAGTATTGAAAAAATAGCTGAACAGTACCTTTTATGAATTATCATAGATAACTGAGCAATCTTCTTAGAAGCTATAGTAAATTAATTCTCTAATAAATAATGAATTATCACTTAATTATTATGTTTTCAGGGAGAACTCGAATGTAACCTCAGTTTTTGATCTACAGGAATCTGGGTTTTTTATTTTGATCCCATGATAGGTGGCTGTTTGGTACATAGTTTGTCATTCTGACAGCCAGCCACCGGAATATGCCATGAGAGCACGGGCGTCGTCTGGTATGGACTTCAGGCCGCTATCGGCACGGTGGTGCGTAGAGCCCTGAAGGCAGTCTGTGGGTTCTACATTAGGTTCCCTTTCAGATTTTCACTTTATTTGGTTTGAAGAAAAAATATTCTTTGTGTTTCCCTGTGGAAAGATTTAAATACACTAGGCCAAAAATTTGATCACAACATATTAAGTGTGAGTAGGGTTAAAAATCAAAAATTATTTCCGGGTTTTTTGTACTAATTTTATCATTTTTAACTGAATGAGGCACATCTAAGGATTCATCAAAATTGTTGACAATAAGATATTGATAGATTTAATTCACGTTCTTATTCTTTATTTTCTTTAAGATAATGTATATATATATATTATATATAGCCCTCAACTTGTAATGAATTGGTTGAGCACTCTGGTCCCTATTTCATTACCTACTCAGCAGGGTT